TAAATGTATACATTTAGCTACATGTACTTGTGGTTCATTCAGACAGTGTTCAAAGTTCATGATTCAGAGTTCCTGTTTTCACTACCATGATTCTTTTATAAAATTGGAGGTCCATCAAGTTAAACTAGGTACATTAGGTCACTATGCTGCCTCTTACATGTTTTATACAGTACATGTTTACTGACAGAGTTTTCATTAGGGTTACAAAAAGGTCCATGGATGGCTTTTTGATTATTGTTAGCAAGGCAAATCCTCCTTTTCAGAACTGCATGAAAGCCTATTCTCTCTGAAGAGAGTATGGCTGGCCGCTCCTATAACATCTACAGTATGCGTTCACTTTAATCCAACAGTAATAGTAGGCCTACTGGTACTACATCTTGTGCTTTGAGCCAATGCATGCAAAGTTATTCAGAATAAACATACTTTTTTTGCTAGGGTTACTGTGTGCGAGGGTGCTCAATGCAAAATGTAAACATTGGTGACACTGAATAAATATGGACAGTAAACGGCAATTAAATGTCTTCATTCTGTCACTGTTTGACAGCTAAAACTTTGTTCACTGTCCCTAAAATTCACAGCATATAACTTAACCCTTACTCTCTGAGGGTAGTTTACTGCATGTCAGTTGGTTATGCCAATGCCCTCCAGCTGCAGTATATTGGCAGATAAACTATCTTGACAGTGAAGGCTCCAATTGGCAGGAGTTGGAGGCCCTGGAGGGTGCCTGATACTGACCAGCTGGGGGCACTCACTTTGTTATCAGAGGACTCTCATTGTTCTCTGTGGCATGTATTGGAGTGCCTGTCACGTTACCCTTGAAATGACATGGCAGATATTGGAGGGCCATGCAAAAAACATAGGAGATTTTCTTGAGGCACATATTGGCATGCGTTGGAGGGTCAAGTAGGGTAAGGGTTAAGGAATGCGTGTGTGCTTTCAGATGCTCGAAGCAAACACAAGCCTAATTTTGCTAACGTTCTAAGCACACACAACTTTGTGCACATGTGTACATTGTGCATTCCTCAAAAGATCAGACTCAGTGTGGTTTTTAGTTTCCAGAGGATTTTCGCTTGGTTGCAGTTTGTACATGGGCTGGCTGTAGATATTGGCATTTTTTTTTACCCAGGTGCTGGGTTCTTGCTAGCGTGAAACAGGTTCCCGAAATCTTTCCTACCAGGTCCAGCATGGAGATTTTGGACATATACGTTTACATTCAGTGCAGTGCTCCATTTTTCTTCTGAAGTTGGCAGTCATGTTTGGGATCTGCGTGCCATCAACACAGCTTCAGCCCAAGTGCAGAACCTGCCCAAGTGGTATTGTCATCACCCCCAGCGTTATCAGGTGTTCCACTCATCACTGAAAATACCAGGAAGCTTTGGGATTACCTGGGTGCTCTCAGGAAGGTTACCAGGGCAAACTGGCCTCGGTGGCCTATTTTTACATCCATGTTACTATTGCCCCGAATATAGCAACTTTTGGCACAGCTTATACAGTACAGGATGTCTGTTTGATCGAATGTGCATGTCATAGGGATGGTACTGTCGATTTAAAAAAAAGGTTGAAAATTGGAAAGAAAGGCTGAAAGATGCATTTCTTCCTACGACATTTACTGAGATGGTCTTTCTCTCAGATAAAAAAAAGTCTGATTTCAGACTAAAGTCCGAAAAATCTCATGCCTAAATTGTCATGAAAGGAATTTAACCCCAAAATTAAATATGCCTCAAATGAAATTCATTAACAAATAATTCATAACAAAACATGGGGTTAAAACGAGATATTTGATTATCATTTCATTTTTCTCTTTTTTTTTTAAACTCCTGTTAAGCTATTGGTTTACACACACAGAGCAAAAAGCCAAGCGCAACTTTATCAACGCAAAACACTGGTTCATTTCATGACCTTCAAACTCATTGGCTTTCCCTTAAAAAAAAAAACAAGTTCATTGAGTTGTTTCTTTAAATACCTGAAGCAAGAGAAACAGTGTTTTGAAACTTGTTGGGCAACAAACAGTTGAAGGAGTGTTAGGACAAAAAGTTCAGACACCCGAACCCTTTTTAAAGTGAGCATTCCAGCTGAAACCATGAGTTTGAATATGAAAAAAGAAAATTCGGAAATGGATGGTTTGCTCCAAAGTGCAATAATTGTACCCAGGTGGGGTTGGGAGTAGTGTGTACATTGTTACCTGTTCTGTTGCAATGATGCGCAAATAACTTTGCCCTATGCTTATAGAATTCAGGAATGCAGATATTCAATTAAATGACAAGTCAGCCCTGACTATCCAGGGTTGATGTTTCCATGAATCATGAAATAGACAGTCAACAGTCAATTGTCAAAACAGAGAACACTTTGTACCTAGAATGCTGTGAAGACCACTGAAGACAAACTGTGAAGGTTGCACTTTTTACTGTTTCAGCCATTGGGTGTTCTACTACACATTTTCTTCTTTTCAGAAATAAAGGAAAGTTTCGTTTCTAAGAACGTAACATAAAATGTATTTGAAATTGAAAATTTATCAGCAACTTCCATGTAGTATAGTACCAACCGTACATATGGAACAAATCTAAAAAATAATGAGAGGCAATTTCGTCAGATACTTCCACGGCTCTCTTTAATCTATCAGAGTCATTTTTGACAAGTGATGGAAGTTTATAATTTGGTGTGTGGCAGTATCAAGAAATTAAATAAAATCAACATCAGCCAGTTCATATGTTTTAAAATAATTCAAAGAAACAGAGGTTACAGCTGGGAAATTACCTAAATTTGACATTTGAAACTGCACATGAGAGTTTCTCAAGTACGTAATTTTCACTTTATCAAAACACAATTTCTTAAAATAAAATTAAGTTAAAAAACAACAACAAGGAAAACAAAAAGATTTTCAGGAAAGCTACCTTGCCTAAGAAATATCAAAACACAACTAAAGAAAAAAAACTCCCAAGGATTTAAGATCTTCAGGGAAAGCTAGCTTGCCTAAACCTAGCTTTCCAAAAAAAACTTGGTAAATGATAAATTCGATCAGGACAATTTCGACAAGTGTGTTTTGATGGCGTCTGCAATCAGTGATTCCATTTATAAATCTTGGCTGGCACTTCAGCATTCAAGCCTGAAGATAAACTGCCCCTACTTGAGAAAGTTTAAACTTTCTTATCTGGGCCTAGTCTGCCCTGCTTCATCATGCAACTTCCAAGTTCAAGACCTCCTGTAAACACGGCACTTAGGTCCGTCTTTATTTATGGCTCTAGACGACCTACAATCCCTGAAGGGAATAGACCTGAAAGATCCGAGATGTACATTTATAGCTTGAGAAAATATTAAGAATCCTGTGATAAATAAAAAATTCTCTTTTACGGAAAAAATAAGGATATGATTTTGATACATGTAGTGCATATCATGCAGGTCACATGCTTTTTTAAAGAATGTAGTTGAACTGAAATGCATGAGTCTCATTCTCATCTTTATTCATATCCTCTTTGCAATTTTTCCTCGACCAGTCCTTTTCAGTCTAAAACACGTACATATCTCTGCATATCAAAACTCCAACTTCCAATCCACGAATTAGAATTTACACCCACGAATATACATCTTTCTACATACCTTGGACACTTGCTGCACACCACAGTATGGAAACACAGAGGAGAATCCACCTTGCGCAGCAGCAAGTTCTTGTCAAATTAGTTTCCGTCATTCTCAGATTGTCATCAGGACAACTCCCTTGTCATGCTTGTCATCACACGCGACAGACAGTCACAAACATGCTGAGAATATAATCCTCTGTGAATGCTACACAGACAAATGATGACTTCTTCTGCAGTATATTCCAATTCCAAAAGGAGAAGAATAAAGTGTTAAATAAAGTTTCCACACTTCTGCCAGTCTGGCTATGTTCTGGTGTCGTGTTGATGTTCTTGTTGCCAAATCCTAGTATTTTCCAGATTGTTGGCCCGGTTTTGCCAACACAACTTTGATGTAACAATTCAACATGTTCAACTTGCATTCATCTAACACGCACATTTCCTGCAGTTGTTACAAATTTACAGACGAATTTCTGTTGAATGAAACCCACCACCAGAAGACCCAAACGGCAGAATGTTTATTGCTCTTCAAAACCACAGCAGTTCCTACTACAAGAGAACAGCGTTACCGACCGTCTCGAGGTTGCACGCAGTAGGGCGAGAAACTCCGGTCAGCCCGCGCGGTGAACCCTCCGGACTGCACTGCACTGCAGCAGCGGCAACAGAGCACCCCAGACTCAACAAAAATCCTGGGAAGTTTTGACGATTATCTCGGCTCCAAACGCCACTGCCGGACACTGTCAGCTGTTCAAAAACACACACCAACAATCCACAGGGTCTGAAGAGTAAACTGGCACACTTCTAAGACCAAGTTCGTTGGGGAAAACACCCGGTCACCGAAGAAACAATTTTGGTGGAATTCCGACGGTGCGACCGCTGTGCTTCCGTGGCCGTGTGAGACTGCACTGTGTATTTTCTCTAGTACAGTTGGTGTACCAAGTAGGCCCCCTATCGTTCGTTTGTGCAGGAACATAGGTAATCCTTTGTGTACCTAAAAACCTTTTCGCTACGCCTCAGTGCACACACGTACACGGGGACAGCAATAGACAATCCTTTGAATGATCAGACGAGCCCCAAAATAGAGAGAAAGATTATGTAGATTAAATAAGCCGCTTTAACCGCACAGCGGAAGTGGACCAGTCACCCGTGACATTTCGCTTTAAAAAGCACGAAACAAACTTTAAAAGTTTTGCTTGCTGGGATCGGTCAGGCGCCCACTTAAAAATTGATGGCCCGGTTGATAGCGCCCTCTGTTGACAAATTATTAATAATTTCGTGTACGGACAAACTGAAACGAGCGATGGCAAAATGGAAACAATTTGGATTTCTAATACCATCTTTTTACTTCCAAACTCAAAACAGAAAGGGTTTGAATAAGCGACAAAAACCCACCACAATCGTTACTACAGTGAAACAAAATTGTGTTTCTGGGGAGCGATCAGTATTTTAATTCGAAACAATATTAACAAGAAGAAAAACACACAAAGATATCAGCCCCCAGAAATAGATAACGCCCTAAAACAAATGTTCGAATGGAAATGCTCATTAAATTGTGCTCCATTTTTCCAGTAGTAAAGCAAACCAAATTTTTAGAATATTTATGCTACTGATTTTTTTCTTTAATGTGTGTTTCAGAATTTGAAATATACATTAAAGAAGATATCACATTAAGAAGTGGCGTGTTCGCGTGTACTTTCTTCTCAATTTTGTGCCAAAAAATCTAACATATCGACTTTTTAAATCATATTTCTTAGTTGAGTTTATAACTTCAAATTATCATTTTCTTGTCTTAAAATTGTGTCTGTGTCTCTGTGTACGTCATATAATTCATGTTATTCTGTAGTATAGTTTGAGGTACAAAAGCAATACGCTTCAAATTAAACCTAAAAATCCATTTTACATGTACATATATCATTTGGATCTTGTTGAATATCTGCTTAGTGCATGTACTTAACATTATCTCGATAATAGTATTGTACATTATTATGACAGCATTGAAACGAAGTTGTTCGTAATGAGTGGACACTTTAGTAGACTGTTCATTTGAGCGATTGTAGATAACTATCCCCCGTTGGGTCCGTCCACTTCCAGCCGGCCAGCTGCCTGACGGCGTCGTTGGCCTGGTACCGGAGATGCGGATTCTCCGTCTCCGCCACCTCCTGGATCAGTTGGGCCAGGTCTTCCCCCTTCTGCATCGGGCCGGTCTCGGCCGACTTGGCCGCCATGCCGTTCATCATGCTCACGTACATGGGCTTGAGGACCTCGCCGAAGTCCTTGGCTTGCTCGTCGAAGGAGACTTTGTAGAAGTTGGCGATGAGGTCGGTGGCCACGCCGCTGGGTTGGACCAAGATCACCCTGAGGAAAAAAATATATATTTGGACGAAATTGAAGTTTCACGAAGTAGCATTATAAGCCGCAATTCGCAAACAGGATCATTTGCTTTTCGCACATTTTCGTTTCCAATAATGACATCACCAAAAGTCTAAAGAAAAACGTTCAAAACACAACCTGTTGACGTTTCAGCTCAGTAGATATTACACTTTTTGAGAAAACTAGTGAAAGCCATGCATAGCCTTTTGATCGTGAACCACGATTTCGTCGATAGCACTCTTATTCCAAAAATCAATCATTGTAAATCACCTACATCATTTTTTTCTTGATTTCTTCTAAAATGACAGCCGGCCAGAGGGAATCATTTCACTGGGTGTTTAGTATCAGTACGAGTAAGCTTTTTGACAATGATTCGATAGGTTATACTTTTAGGATAAATGCAAATGATCCGCCCTTCAAAATGGATACATTTTCAGTACGTGAATTTGATCAGCAATATTTTGCAAATCTGCTCATTGAAATTGGGTCCTGTACCTTATGTTGAATGCATCTCGTAGTACCGGTGCTATCGACTCCGTATAGCCCTCCAGGGCGAACTTAGAGGCCGAGTAAATGCTGAAGAAGGGCATAGCTGTTTTGGACAAATAGAGAGTAAACGGCGATCAACCAAAAAAAATGAGTACTTTTTTTCGACAGGGTGGAAAATTCGACAAACGAGGATCGGGTGGGTGGGGGATGAACAGGGAAGTGATAAACTCACGGAAGATGTTCATGATACAAACGTACGCAGTTAATGGGCTCACCGTGACATGTACACCCTTTTAGGACTGTTTCCGCAAACCATTTACTATTGGTAGCTTTGCATTTCGAAATTGTCCCTTTTCCTCGTGAAGCTGCTTCCGAAACGTCACCATTGCTACGGCACTAGGTTGGGTAGGGTTGTGTTGGGTTGGCTAGGGTTGGGTACCGGTTCAGTTGGGTTGGGTTGGGTAATCACGGGGTCGGATTGGGTTGGGTTGGGTTGGGTTGAATTTGTTTGGGCTGGGTTGGGTTGGGTTAAGTTGCGTGAGTTTGTTTTGGTTGTGTTGTGTTGAGTTGGGTTGGGTTGGGTTGCCATGGGTTGGGTACCGATTGGGTTGAGTTGAGTAATCACGGAGTTGGGTCCCAGTAGTTGATAGAGTTGGGCTGAATTTTAGGGTTGGGTTGGGTTGAGTTTGTTTGGGTTTGGTTGGGTGTGAGAGTTTGTTTGGGTTGGGTTGAGTTGCCGGGTTGGGTTGGGTTGGGTTGGGTTGGGTACCGGTTGGGTTGGGTAATCACGGGGTTGGGTCCCAGTAGTTGATAGAGTTGGGCTGAATTTTAGATTGAAATGGGATGGATTAGAAAAGGTTGAGTGTGGTTTTCGTTACCATTTATTCCGGCATTGCTGCTGATGTTGATGATTCTACCGGAGCGATGCTCCTGCATCGTGGGCAGTACGGCCCGCGTGAGACGGACCGCGCCCCAGAAATTGGTGTCCATCATCTCCTGACACCACTCCAGTGACTTGTGAGTGATGCCGTCCAAACCATACGAACCAGCATTGTTGACTGCAGACCAACAAAATAATTATAATGAAGTTTCTTTAAACACTGATTTCCTTCGGGAGTAACGTCGAAATTCAATGAATCCAGGCAGGAACACAAATCTCCTGGAATCCTATACCCATGGTTCCCCTTTTGAAAAATACGTTTGACATAAGTTTTTTAGCTAGATTTTAATGACAGCTTCGTGAGCTAAAACGAGTTTTCCCGTCCTTTGTACGGACGGATAAAGGAGTTTTAGGAAAGAGACGGGACCCCTTCTGAGTGCTTCCGACAATGGGGGTAAATAATAGACCTTATTTTATCTAGGGTAAGCACTGCCACCACTGCCACGGTCACACGAAGGACGTCGTCCAGCTCATGCATATTCAATGATATTTTGATAGCCTATTGGTAGTTCTCGAACAGAGCTTCCTCAATATTAATTTTTAAGCCACTGGGAATCGGATGAGTGACGAGCTCGTCACAATGCCGGTTTCTGAAACAATGCCTCGGGAGATCTTCAATTTTCTTAAAATTCTCTTTACAAATATGTTATAGGGGTAGGCCTAAAAATATTATCTATTACCTAGTATATCAATCTTTCCGTCTTCGCGCACGATGTCGCCCACGAGCGCTTTGATGGTGTCATCTTTGGTGACGTCCAGCGGCCGCACGAACAGCGTTTTGTCCAGTGCGTCTCCCGCTGCTGTCTCTAGCCGTTCTTTCTTACCAAGGTTTCTCATAGTCGCGTAAACCTTGAAATATGAACCAAAAGGACAAAGAAAATAATACCGGAAATATGTAATTTTAACCCTTCTCTGATTTATCTGTTTTGGGGTGTGTTTTTTTCATTCGGTTGAGTTAATGAAAAGGCACCATGCACGGATGACTAGTTAAAGCACGCCTGCATTTCTAAGCTCGCGGGATTTTTTTCGGGAGGGGGGTATAATCTGAAAACTATAACCGAAATTTCGAAGCGGAATTGCCTTTTCGGTGGAAATAATTTTAAGAATGAAAACTTTGCATGGCGAGGATAACAGCAAGGTGGGTTTATAATTTTGTCATTATTTGGCTTACTTATATAGAACAACTGACCTAACCAAAACAACAACGTGAACGACAAGCGGCCAAAAACCGGCAAAGTTGGCCTAATAGATTCTGATCACAGTTAACAAAAAAAAACACCATGAACTTTGCTCATAAACTTTGACATGATAGGCTACAATACAATTGCCCTACTGCTTGATCTGTTCAAGTTATATATGCCTATTTGTGTTGATTTTATCGGCGCGGTGGGGATCGACAAGCCTACGGGGCCACGTATAGAGGTGCTCCTGAAATAAGTTCATTGAAATTTCAACATGAAAGGAAACGAAACTGCAGTTGCTCTGTGCGTTACAATGCCTGTCGCCATTGGCGAACAACTCCATTGGGATTTCAAATCGAAGTGGCCAAGTTGAAGGCAATTGTTTTAATTTTGAGGAAACGTGACATTCACACCACACAGAGTTATATCTTATAGTTCATCGCGCCGCATTGATCCATTAAAGCAATTAAGAAAGGGGCGGGGCTCCGAAAGGTGAATGGTCGAACTCCTCCTCCTCCTTAACGACACACGTGACCAAACACCTTGTACATGATCAGACAAACACCCAGTGAGTTTCAGAGTTCTAATTGCCCTCTCAGAGAAAGGGGCATGGCTGTCCTGAAAAAAACATGAATGTGCCCCATGCAGAATCAAACAGTCAGGCTGAACTTGTTGGAAGTTCGTAGACGCGCAGTGAAAAAGGGGAAATACTAACTATAGGCAAATAGTTGTGGTAAACCCACCTTGTATCTCTGTTCGGGGTCCTTAGCCAAACGAACGGCAGTTGCCAGCCCGATTCCTGACGAGCAACCGGTGATCAGAACGATGCTTTGAGCCATGATGTTTCCCTCCACAAATTTGGCTGGTACATTCAACTTACAGTCACTCACAAAATTACTATTCACTCTCCGTTGACAACTGTAAGAGCTCGTAGAATTATGGTTTTCAAATCAGATTCGACAGAGTCACTTCGACAACTTTTATGGCAGCGATACAAACAGTTATAATGTTCACCCAACTCGAATGGGAGTAGCTAGGTCTATTTTAGACTCTGCAAATATGTTGACTGACAAAAATAAGGAAATATGTTATCGCCTGCGCTGCGGGTCCAAAATTCATGCATGATGATCTTTATCGCCTTGACCTCCGACGTTGGGTCAGCAATAGTATAAACCGCCACTTGCCGCTTTTCAATCAGTTGTCGGTTTCGACGGATAGGAAACACACTGCATTTGTATCCCCTCCGGTGGCATTCAATGGATTTACTCCCGTCCCTCGTATGTGCAAATAAACCTGGCTGGCGATGAAAGCTTTTCCTTACGCTTTTAGTTCAGGCTTTCAAATTTTGAATATATTTTGGCTATTTTTTTGGGGGGGGGGGGGAAACCAGATTCCCGTGGTTTTATATTTTATTATGTGTAATATAGAATAGGATTTGCCTGTCACATGACCTTATTGACTTTCACGATAGTCACATTCAAGCAAGGCACAGATAAAAAATACGAAAAACGATGGAACAGAACAAGAAAAGCTTTCGACTCGGAGTGTCCTATGATAAGCATCAAGTACATGTAGCCTACAGACAGTCGAGCCCTGATAAGAAGAGCACTGTTAATACAACTTCATGCTTATCAAGCAAGGTTATAAATCCCAAGTCTTTGTTTTTCTTTGTTTTCCATTACTGTTAATACAACTTAATTACCTGTTACAACTAGGTAGTTTGTAAAGTCCCAAGAACCTTGTTATAAAGGTGTTCGACGTACATATAACTGCTGAGGTACGATGCAAGACTAAAGGCTCACCGTTTTGCCGTTCGTATTTTGGTAGGCGGGGCCCGGACAGACTACAAAAAATCTCACTTCACAAAAACCCGATTTTAAGAAAAATCACACACTTAGTTCCTCTTTATTACATCTTCCTTCGTCGTTCAACTTACCAATGAATAAAAGTCAAGGATTTCTCTGTCAGCATGGACGGAAACATAATATTGCCGGCAGTGTCATAAAAAAAATTCGTGATCTGTCACCAAGAATTACTGAGAAATGATCGTTTTGTCGATGGAAGGCCATGTGTTGTTACAGGTCTTAGTATAGGAAGATTGATAGAGCACTAAATCTTAACAACTTGAATCACACAACAATGAATATGTAGAGAAACTGTTCCTGGACAACAGTTTGAGGCAAATGAAAAGGCTCCTCTTTTGGAAATAGTGATGAAGCGAAATCATCACAAAATGCCTCAAAAGTAGACATTTTCTGGAAAATCATCAAATACAAATATATATACAATAAGTTAATTACATTAGTTAATCAAATAGAATACTGACGTTTACTATATCGAAATATAGACCAGTTTCTTAAGCAAGACAATCGATATATATCTGAAGGTTAAGTTGTCTCTAAGAACGACTATACAACATTATAATAAACCTTTGTGCCAGAGACGGCGACCTAAGATTGCCAGGAAGTTTAAAAAAAGCCGCTACAAAACACTTCACCATAGGCATATGGTTATTTCTGGACGTTGAACTTCAGAAGATGCTTTAGTGGCACTAATGAATGGACGGTGGGTGAAAATGGTACATGTACATGTATATTAAAATTATAAAACTGGTTTAGAAGATTGCCTCTGCATGAATGATTATTTGCAACAACTAATCGTTGGCAAGCATATCAGATAAAAATCTGTTCATGATGCTCAGGGCTAAATGTTAACCACTTAACGCTGGAGGACGTCTAAACGTGATCTGGCAATGTATGTTCACAGGGGAAGGGTGAAGGGTTAAATCGTCAAGCTTTTCCTGAGTCCGCGGTGGACATTTACAAACGTCATGGTTCCCATTGGTTTTGCGCATACACCGAGTGTTTAACTTGAACATGGCCACTGTACACGGCCTGCCGTCGTAGCAAATATCACTCCATGGAGGGGCCTCGGAGAGTTGCAAAATATGAGGAAACAGTGAGCATTATCGTACATATATTGTACAAAGGACTCTCAAGAATCAGTAATTGGTGGTGTTTGGCTTGATTTTAAAATTTGGCCGATATATTTTGTCATTTTTCAAAAATGGTGTTTTTCGGCCAAAATAATCTCCCCGCCAAGTGGTTAATAAAGAAAGTGCATGTATTGGAGTTAAAAGTGCTGGGTGAGGTCTTCCTTTAGAACTCCTGATATCTCCTCTCTCCAATTATAAACTTCCATTACAAAAAAAACCACAGTTTTTTTAGTTGTCTTAAAAATATAATTTTTCATCCACAATCATTGACAAAAACCACGTCTGGTTTATAGCTGTCACAAAACAGAGCACTGCCGAGTCTTTAAAACCAAATTCGTTGACCGATTGCAGCCCAGCCAGTAAGCTCTATGCAGAGAGGAGAGAAAGTCGGAAATGAAGAAAACTATTTCTCATCAAGGATAGCTGTTTAGTAGCTCCGTCTTCTCACCGATCTTCCGTAGTCGCTCATGTTCCTGCAATGAACAAAACCGAAAAATGTGGACATGACGTCTAGCAATAAAGTCGAAATAATTTTTGGGTCGATAATGTCAACACGGTTTTGTTAGAACATTTGAAGTTGAAGCATCCATTGGCAAATTTTTAATGTCCCAAAGCAGTAAAGCTTAAAACGTTTATAAAGTCACAACACAAAACTTTATTTCTGGTCTATTCTAAGTGAAGTAGGTGGCCATGTATGGTCACACATACTCAAATTTGTATCCTTGTGGAGACATCGCTTTGTTCTTGTGTAAAAAATCGTGAAAGGGTTGAGAGCTTTTTTCAAAGTGCTCCTTTTTTAACCAGAATTACATGTACTTTCCTGGGTTGAAACTCCGACCAAATATCCCTTTCATAAAATCATTACTTTAATTTGCGACAGAAAAGTATACCTTGGCATTGGAAATTCCTAGTTTTTGAGTAAAATTCATATAAAATGTATCTATTTCGTGAAATCCTTGTGGAGACCTATTCACCTTTAAAAATTGCATTGTGGAGACCTTTACATTTTTTTGTTCAGTATTAAACACGAGTCTCCACAAGGCATCATTTTTGAAACACATTTCCCCGTAATCAACACAACACACTTCAGTAGGAATTTGTCGGCCCCAGCATTTACAGTTTTGCACTTGGGCCAACCAGTTTGACAGGATCCAGGTGCTGCTAGGTTTAAGGATTGGGAATGGTAACATTGCAAACTCAGTTGATTCAGAGGCCAACATCTTAAACTATAATTGTATTTTTATACCTTTGCTGTTCCATCCAGTATAATTCTATCTTCCTTCATCATCATCCTGTGCTGCTGTAGACTGATGTATCCCTCCTCACGGTTCACATGACTCTGCAAAAACACACGACAAGATCCGCAATTCAATTTCTGGCAAGGGAAAACTTCTGATTTGACATCAAGGGTTCTCAGTCATCCATGACTGCACGGGTGTAAGAAAGGTATCGATGGAAAGCTGTTAAACCATCCTTTTACATATAAACACCGCAAAAAAAAAGAAAGAAAGTCCACACTCATTGGAGGGGTCGTAATTTTGAATCTGATTGTCTTATGATGACGTCATTTATACAGACGTTTGGGGAATTTTGTTAGCTGCATTTTGATACACCGTTTGCTATCAAAGACTGTAAATCGTCCAAGATTGACAATGGTTTATGAAAAATGATGCAGTTTAAAAAGCTGCAACTTTAAAGATTACGCGAGGAGAAATTGCTGAGCGCAAACATTCATGCCCGTTATTGGCCCCTATGGACTGCACAGTGTCGAACAAAGCGCGGGTAAATCAAATTCGCGTGCTCCCATGCATGCAAGCACTGTGCGATCGATATTCCCTGCCGTTCGTTTCGGGCAGTTTATCATGGTCACTCAGCAATTTCCACTAGCGTACTCTTTAAATCTGCAACTTTTCAAACTGCACCATGTTTCATTAACCATTGTCAATGTTGGACGATTTACAGTCTTTGGTAGCAAACGGGGTATCAAATGTAGCCAACAACATTCCCCAAAGGTCTATATAAATGACATTATCATAAGACGATCGGATTCAAAATTACAACCCCTCCAATGAGTGTGGACTTTCTTCTTTTGCGGTGTTTATATGTAATCACAATGACAGTATACAAAATTTGTAATTTAAACATACTAGTCCATTATTTTTATGATTTTTTTGGATTACCTTGTAGAGTTCTGACTGCTCCCGCAGCAGTTTCTGTTCCAACTCTTTCTCCTTCTGGTAGTACTCGATCATCTGCTGCTTGATGCGCTGGTCGTTCTTGCGTCGCATCTCGGCCAGCTGCTGCTGCAGTCGCTTGCACTGCTGCTCACGCTGCTTGCGGGCGTACTCGCTGGTCCGAACCTTGTTGGACAGGTCGTGCTCTATCTCTTCTTGTTTGGTGACGGTTCTCTGAAAAACAGAAAGTCATCCCCGGGTTTATTATTAATTTCCCGGTCAAAACAGTTGCTTGGATATTTTCAGTCCAACAGTTTAATAATCTGATGCTTATAGAACACTTTATATCAAATGTCTCAAAGCGCTTCACAACTATCAACCACGTTCATCAGGCCAAGATACAAGTTTCTACAGCAGCTCAAAATCAGTGCAATCTGGTCTCTACAGAGGCACTTGTTGTAAAGTGTCTTGCCCAAGAACACAAGCGCCATGTTCTCCCATCTGGGTTGAAATCCGTGTACCATTGCACATGCGTCAGACACCATAACCACTGGACTAGGGTAAAGAGAGAGTTTTGCAAGGGAAGGACACAGTTGGCGCGTTGGATAGATCACCATTTTGTGTGGTCTTGAGACGTCATATACAACTCCCTATCTACAATACGCACATGCAGGCACTCGCACGTTTGTTTATGGTGTAAATCAACGATTTTCTTTTGTTTCTCTTCCCCTTTTTCTTTGTTTGTACTTTATAACATTTTTGCAACAGCTCTCATTGGTTTTGTACACGTTTTCTACAAGGTCGTCCTCGATTTGGTTCCTGTCCTCGATTCACCCATGATGTTGCACGTGTGTGTCCTCGATTTACACTATAAACAAACACGTATATATTGTATGTGAAAGGCATAGTAATTTGTCGAATGTCATCTTCTTTGGTGTATGTATTTAACCCTGTATAATTTGATCGAAAGTGGATGAATTGCTGACCGTATATGCGCCATTTGTCTCTGCAGGATTAGCTGCTTACAGTGTAATTCGCCAAACAAATTAGCCATTTTTGAAGTGGTGTCACTCCTGCGCATACACCGCACAGATGAGATGCATGCATTTGATAACCCTATTGGTTGAAGGAGCTCCGAGTGCTTGCGTACTACCCGAGTGTGACTCACGCGAGCCTGGTGCTACTGCAGTGCCATCTCAGAAAACGGCTGTCGCCGAATTAGTGTATACGAGGCTTTCATCTGATGCTGCATTTTGCGAAACCTCTCTACTGCCTGTGACATGTATTTACGTTGTCTGTCTGTTGGTCAGCACCTCTATATGTCTGTCATGTCTTACCACGGCATGCTTGAGGGTGTCTTCATATCCCCTCCTGGTCGACTCGTACTGCTTCTTGTCAAATCTCTCTTCCCAGTCCTTCAGTTCTTTCTCGTGCTCCTTCTTCTTGAGGGCGGTGATGTGTTGCAGCCGGCGCTGTTTCCTTACTTCGTGGCTCTATGAAAAGAAAAACGGAACAGCCAAGATAACTTGCAATTTGCCGTGGAAGCATTTCAACATTTCAAGTTCTGCGCCACGACGGAACGTGGTCCCTACAGGCAGGAATCAATCACAGTCGATCTGTGTGAAGTTACGACGTTGTGCGCGCATCCGGATCATCTAATTTTATTGTGAATCGTCGTCACATCATGGGCGACATGAGCATGGTTTTGATTATTCTGTGTCAAGATGCCGCTTGCTCCACGATTATCAAACGATTCCTCAGTTTAGTGACCTGAGCATGATGTTTGTGCTTGATGCCGACTATTCCATTGCGGCACAAGTAAATTGCAGGTCGACCTGAAACCGGCTTTGTGTCATCTGAATTCTGAAAAGCACAAGAATCAAGTGAGTTTTGGGACAAATAAAATGTGTTTTCGAACCTGCCAAATTGACTATAGACTGGCTCATGAAAATGCACGAGGGTGGGGGGGATGACACTGTCTGGATTCGTACCTGTAATTTCTGTGCAATCTTCCTGTTCGTGAAATCCAGCTTGGCTGTCAGTGCTGCCTCTTGCAGCTTCCTCTGGGTGGCGTTGTTCTCCTGCAGACGGTTCCTGGTATCCAGTAATTGACGACCACCTAGTATGCAACAAGAAATATTGGTTATGCAATTCAGTTATGGCCAGATCATAATTCATGGGCACGGGGTTGCAAAACTAATTTGCTGTCTAGATCCATTCGTGGCTAAATTTGCGAGATGTGAAAGGCATTAAGCTTTTGTTAATTCACAGACCAAATAGTGGTTGTGATGTTATTCACATTTATCTTTGCCTTCGCATCGACTATGAACTGGCTCTTAAACTTGATTTTGTTTTTAAAAGATTTTTTAAAAAAAATTTACGAAAATGAAACAATGATGTTACCATCTCTGTTTTTTTCCAGCATGTTGACGTTGGACTGTGCCAAGTCCAGACTCAAGCGTCTCTTGTTGTTCTCAAATTGACCAGCCTTGCCCATGTTTCTCCTGAAAATGACAAAAACAAGGGAAATAAATGATGATGACATATATTTTTGAAATCATTTTCTATTTTCCCGAGGATCTATTAAGAAAAATAAATATTAGGTGAGCACAGATTTCCACAAGAGTCATATAAAGCTAAAAACTCACATTCAAAATCATGAAGAAGAACACAGATCACAGATTTGGAAAAAGGAAGTTCAAATTCTACTCAAGCATCCCTAAAACAAAAATTGTTGATTTTACAGTCATCAAATGATAATGATTCAGAAGAGATATATCCAAAAGCCATTTTTTGGGGCTGTCCATTTTTGAATAATTAATTTTTTTATTACTTGACAATGCGTTTGACCAAATATTCTGATATTAAAAAAAAACAGCTGCAACTGCATGGTGTGCCAGTTAAAAGTTGCACAAAGAGTGTGCCAGCTAAAATTGGCACGCAGCAAATATTCCCGAATATTCAAACCGAAAATTTGAAAATGTTGATTACGATCGATTATTTGAGTATTTGACATATTTCGGAAAGCCCTAGCAACTTCCATACCTCAACTTGGTATCAAATTGTGCTTCCATCTCATTGTCTGCCTTGATCTTGTCTTTGGATTCTGTCTTGCCGTCTCTGCAAAAAAACCAAAAACAAATAGGAAAGGTTATTTAGGGTGGTATCCATGGCTGGCAATGATTAGCAAACACGCTTACAAATGTTAACAACAGACAATATGGGGCCATGCGTCAGCAAGAGAGTATGCTTTTTGACACATGTATTTCATGTCAATGAGAGTGGTCTCCCCCAACTCTCCCTTTCTTACCGTTGAGGGGGTACTTGTGCACAGAGCGCATTTCAAGAAAATTCCAACACTTTTTTTTTTCTTTTGATATTTAGGGAGGGTTTAAATGAAGGATTCACAATAAAATAAACAAAATCACATCGTTATAAAGGTAAGGTGTTGGCAGAGAGAGGAAAGGCTATTCCTATACTGACTTTGAGGTATCGACGGCCATCTTGCGCTGTTTCTGCGCCTCCATGTTGATGGTCAGTGCAATGTCGGCCAGTTCCTTGTTCAGGGCAAACGTCTCTTCCTCTTTAGTCTTCATGCGGTCGGTGAACTCCTCGCTCAGTTTCTGAACTTCGGCCCGTCTCAGCTCGATCTCGGACACCTTGGCTCGGTACTTCCTCTCCAGATCTCCACTAAAAAAACAAAAAACAGAAAGTTTGTTGATGTTCCATTTATATTTGGAATGCCTGTACAATTTTGTCCAATGGGAGGCGTATGAGTGGCAGTGAGGTGTTAATGTGTGTGTTTTTTCCAGCCGTAGCTACAATATGTTGGATCACTTGACATCCTTGTGTGCTCAATTTGCCTTGATGATTGTGAAATTCATAAGATGGAATTTTGCATTGGGGTGCTGTAAATCAAACAAGGTTTTGTCCTTCACCAACGTTTAAACACTGTATACTCAGTGTGTTACCTCCCGAGTGAAAGTTGGAAAAAATCACTCGGGAGGTAACACACTGAGTATACAGTGTTTATACGTCGGTGAAGGGCAAAACCTAGTTTGATTTACATCACCCCGACGCAAAATTCCATCTTATGAATAGTTAATGCGATACCCGCTGCTATGTACATCAGATTCGAACCAGCCAACCGATCCTGTTAGCTTGGTGGGCGAGTGGTAAGACATCTGCACTAGAAAGCAGGAGGTCGTGGGTTTGAGTCCCACCCGAGTGATTTTTTCCAACTTTCACTCGGGAGGTAACACACTGAGTTTACAGTGTTTATACGTCGGTGAAGGGCAAAACCTAGTTTGATTGTGAAACTGTTGATCTGATTGGAGTCTGTTTGTCATCTTACATTGTGAGGAAGGCTTTCCTGTCTTCGTCCTTGATTTGTTGGTCCTTGTTGATGACCTTCTCAATTCTGTCTTTGGTAAGCTGTAAATAAAAAAAAAATTCTTGAAATGGACATCAAAATAACAAGAGCAATAAGTCTGTTTATTTTTCTTTTTTGTTAGTTCTACCAATGTTTTGTGATAAATACGTGAAAAGCATGATTTTTTTGGATGTAAATTACATTTTTTGTGTCAGGTAATTCTGGAGTTTTTACAAAGGTAAATGTAGGGTAAATTTAAATTTAAAAAAAATCAATCACAACTTTATTTCTGAATTAATTTTAACAAATATAATTGAATTATTTTTTCTCGTTTGTGGATCTGTGCAGAAGTACATTCTCAATGATGAGAACGGACTGAAATTCAACCTACGTTTTCTTTCTTGTGTATGTGGTCTGTTGTGATGAGGAACTCCTTCTGTTTGTTCTCCAAGATCTTTTTGGCCTCGGCTTGCTTCTTGCGATTTATGGCTGGACAAAAAGAAAAGGTGCAGTTAAAGGCACATAAGATCATTTGCTTTTGAGGCAGTTTGTTCATTTCCAATACTACCACCACACAAAATCCAAAGAAGATTGTTCAATATCTAACCCGTGAAGTTTCAACTAGGGCCAAGTTCGGGCAAGGACCATTAGTCGACTAGTGGTTGATTTGTGACGTACCTTACGCCTGCGCACTGATAGCAACGTGCGAACGTCTCTAGTCAAACGCTGGTCAAAATGTCAACGCAAAACTTCTGGATCCTGGCTCTCTGCTTGCGTTATGAATGCGCGCGGCTATTGGTTACCAGCGAAGCAACCAACCCCAGTAGGCTGGTTCCAAATAGTCGACTAGCGTAGTCAACCACCATCGACTAGACAGAGTTCGGGCAAACGTTAGTTAACCATTGGTCAACTATAGTCCTTGCGCGAACTTGGCCTCAGTGGATATTACATTTTTCGAGAAAACGGTGAAAAACCATGCACAACCTTTTGATCATGAAAAAAGGTTTCGTCAATAGCACTCTTCATTTCCAAAAATCATCTACACTTCTTGATTTCTTCTAAATGACAGCAAGCCAGACGGAATAATCTCACAGGGTATTTAGTACCAGTACAATCTTTAATTCAAGTTAGCTTTTTGATAATAGTTTGGTAGGTTACTTTTGGGATGGATGTAATAATCCTATAGCCATTCCCTTGGAACTATTTTCCGTTATAATTTGCTATTGGGGTTAAAGAGTGAATTGTTCTTACTCTCTTACAATTTAGTGAAACTCTCCCCATAATCAGACACACACTGTTATAAGTGCGTGCATCATGACATTTTCAGAGCATTTGAGGTGCAAATGTCAAGGACATTTGACTAAAAGTGTCAAACAATCAGTTGAGAGAATTGTTACCAAGTTCAAAATCCTTCATGGTTCTCCTGAGCATGTGTTGGCTCTTGATGATGTCGCCCTCGGATCTCTTGAGTTCCCTCTCCTCTTGCTTATGTTGCCACATGTGATCCTGGTCAATTCAGATATAAGGATATTTCATAATTTTCATTCCAAATGGAGTGTTTACTCAAGTATTCACGCGACTTTACTGCAAAAACTTGATATAAACAAGGTAATTTTATTGTGCACAAATGTTCTAATCTGGCATGTTTGGAGGTCATGCATTATCACATTAGCACATGTACCATATTGCATTACATTGTATCCCTAAAACCATCCAGTGCTGGGGCGGGAAGTACAGGGAGTAACAAGCGGGACAGTTTTGGGCGGTGTAGGGAAATGTTTAAAGGAATCTGTAGTATGCACAAACTCCACTTCTTAATTTAAAAAATCCAATTATATTGAACAAAAAAACAACTCTTTTTAGACATTGAAACTTGTTTTGTTCAGTGAATGCACAGTAATTTGACATATGAACTTCATATTATTCTCAATGCCAGAAAAGCACATGGTATAATTTTGCATAATGTTTCATAATCTGGAGGAAGAAAATCAATTTTCTGAAGAAAAACAAAATTGGACATTCAAATGAGAAAACAAAGGAGTCGTACCTCGATGACTTTCATGCGTTTTTCATATTCATCTTTATCTTTCTCCACTCGGTTCAGCAGATCCACCACGGTGTCAATCTTGGATCCCTCCTGACTGGGCTTCTTGCTTGGAACAGCGCCAGTTCCCAGTAAGCCCACCTACAAAAGTTAAAAGTCAGAGGATAAAAAAAAGAAAAACAAAAATAAAGGTAATTGGTATGAATGTATGAAATAATGGTAAATTGGGGACAGTGTTTGAAAAAAAACCCAGTCTTTCTAAAGCTGGTTGGCTGACTAGTGTTGGAAATTGATACAAAAATACCACTTTTCTTGCAAACGACAGCACACCAGGTGACATGATTTTACAGGATGCTTTAGACTGGGGGGGGGGGGGAGGCAGCTTCTCTAACAGTAACTTGTGCATACTGTGAATTGATGAAGTGAAGCTTCTAAAAGCTAAAAGTTAGGGAACAAGAAAGGTATTAAAAGTAGAAATCAACCTCATGGTTCAAATTTTGGAAATTAAACGTCACACACAAATCCGAGTGACAATTTTCTTCATCAATCACAAAAAAGTTGACAACTCAGATTGATCAATTGATATTTAGTTGTACCTGAGTTGGTTTGGGCTGCTCCTCATCCTCAGGTTTCTTGGGTTTGTTGCTCTTGCTCTCAAGGACTTTGCCTCGGACCTGGAAGGAGTGGGTGTACTTCCTGGAGTCCAGGAAGCCCTCGGGACCACATTTTCTTTCCTGCTCCCTTTGAAAGAAATTTGTCGGAGTGGAAAGTTTGAATGGGCACATCACTTAAGTTTACATCACATTTTTTTCTCGAATAATTGGTATTTTTTTTAACCAGCACATGTCTCACACACTTTTATAAAGGAACATTTCAAAGTTATTTAATCCAAAAATGCATTCGTTCCTTTTTTCCCCCTCTTTGACTTGCCTTAGTTGATCAAGGGCAATAAATATCTCATGAAAGTTTTTTTCTTCCAATTTTCATTTTTGAAAATTTGCAATTTGATGATCTCAACTGAACAAAATTTTGAACTCACTTTCCGTTTGATCGATAGTTAAATTACTTTTGGCCAAAGACAAATGCTAGGCATGTGTATCAGTGTTTGTACCAAAGGTGTTCCAATAGGAAGTGAATATGGACTGGTGAGACTTTCACATGCTATTCAGTAGCAACAATTATTGAGAAGTACGTGTTCTTTTTACCTCAGGAATGCTGCATATTCCTTGGCCTCTTCTCCTTCATCACCTCCAAAGGTTGCAAGGGTCTCATAGCGCGATTTTGATTTCTGGCCGACGTCAAACGGCATGGCTAGTTTGCCACTCGACATAGTTTTCATTACCACTTAGTGATGCTTTTAGACTTCAGATTGTTCCGTTTAGAATGTTGATCTTGTAAGTAGAATTTTTAAATTTTCCGATGGTGGTGATGTCGTATCATCTCAGGGTTGAATCACCAAACATCTGTTGTGACGTACTGTATCTGTAATTGTAAAGACAAATATTAAATTTATAACATTAGACCTAGGCCTACCTGTTGTTCAAAATATCTGATCTAATAGAATAACAAAGGCTAAAGCAGGGTTAAATTTAACACTGTGAATTTCATCAGAAATATGTAGCCAAACGCTCTCATTAAAAAAGCCCAAACCCCTCCCCCCCCAAAAAAAAATGCATTAAAAGTGCATTAAATTAAAGAAAACAGGACTGCACCCCGTCCTCAAACAGAATTCCCCCCCCCCCCGGCACTAGGCCTACGCCCTCCCCACCATCACCACAAGCACAAAAATCAAATCACACTAGCCATAATGCCCATAACGTACGTCATTTTAAGCCTTTTACCAACCACAAATGAAGTAGTGTCAATTAAAATATCATCTATTTATTAATTTCACTTACACTGTTTACAAAAATGACGAAATCTTCCACAAATCAAGAGTGAACTGCACACTGCTCGATGCACTTGTCGCCGGGCCGCTAATTGATCGATGAGGGCGCTATGGTAAATCCACGTTGCTAAGCGCAGCGCAGGATATGAATAGTCTGATGACTGCACGAAACACAACACAACAAAGCCTGGCCGTTGTTGGGTCAGGGAACCGACCAGAGTGTCAGCCTACGGTTGCTAAGGACAATTGGGTCAAAGGTTATTCTCACTCAATGTTGTTGTGTAGAAGTTTGGCGACGTTCAGTTTGGGGGCAAAAATATCAATCGATTCGAAGGTTTTCTGCGATTTTCGCCATGGAAGAGGAGGTCACGTCTGGCAGTGACAATATTGTCACCGAGTTTAACACATATGAAGAATTTCTGGACTCACAAATCACACCATTAGACTTGTTGTATCTCGAGGTGAGACTCGACTTAAAATCTGTTTTGTGTGTTTTCATTACCTTCATTCATGCATGCCGCCCTCACTCGGTGGTTACTCGCATGATCTCTTTATTTTTTTTTTACATTTTCTTGAAATCTTGATTGGAAATAAATGCTTTTGTTTTTTGTTATATTGGCCTATGTCATGTATGTAGACTATTTTCTTTTTTTAGTCTTTTTTAATCCTTAACGTTAACACTTTAGACTAGTCCAGGTCTTTTAAATTTTATGTTCGTTTAAATTTAGTGTTTTGCGTCAGCTCTAACGTTACAACTTGGATTTGACAAAAATAGTGTTACTCTCAATAAAATGTTATAAAAATATTTCGAAGCAAACCACTTGTGTTCCAAATTAATGGTCTGTCAAAGTTTACCACTGTACTAAAGTATTGGATTTGGATTCAAAAATAAGAATCATAAATCATTGCCAATTCAATAATCAATTGCAATTTGCTACGGACATTTGGCTTCTCATAGTACTTGTTCAAAAGCAATCACCCCGTAGCTGTGCACATTAATATTAACGCTAAACATTTATTTTAGTATTAATCAAATAAAATGCACTCCTTTTTCTCCATTTTGCATGCGTTTGTTTGTTTTTCAGGATGAGGAGCTTGCGAGGGAGCTTGTTGAGTTAGGTTACCGTGGCAGTGGGGAAGTGCTTAAACGAGAGGAATTTGTGGCCAGGAAAGAGGCAGCCGAGGCAAGCAGACAGTCAAAGAAAAGCCAACAGAAGTGAGCCAATGCTTTTGGAAAAGATCTCACCAAAAAAAAAAGGACCACAAGGTCATGTTCAAATTTGTTTTACCAGTATGTTACTTTTTGGAACACTGCATGATGACAAAAAGATGCAAACTTTTGGTATGCTAGAATTGTAATCAACTCATCACAAGTCAAGTCTCAAATCAGGTGACAAGTTATTCAAGTGAAATGTTAAAAGGCATTTGGTCATTGTTCATCCCTGCTATTTGTGACCCAAATTGATTACAAGTGGGGTTTATTCTGTTATTACCCCTTTTTCTTTAAATTTTACATGTACTTATATTCCTTTATCTTCCACAAATGTCAATCAAGGTACATGTATAAAGAATAACCAACAAGGGCTTGAAAGCTATGTTGGTAGAGCACTGAAACGGTAATCCAGAGGTGACACTTTCAATTTCATTGTTCAACTGTAAAACGTAAAGATCCCCTGTTTTTATGTGTGTGTCCCTGCTGTAGCACCCTTGCAAGTTCGGGTAAGGACCTGAAGAACCCCTTCCTGAAGGCGTTGGCCCAACGAGAGGAGGCCAACCGCAGCGGCAAGATGACCTCCATCATCTTCATCCGGGACAAGAACGCCAGGGGGCAGGAGATCTCTGGTTACATCGACTACGCCCACCGGCTCAAGACGGAAGACTTTGATCTGTACTTCTCCGGCCGGAAGAGGCTACTGCCCAGACCATCGGATCTTAGGTAAAAGCAACTATTTGGGGGGGGGGGGGGGGGAAGAGGTTTTCTTATATTATTTTACTAATTCCCTAGGATTTTCATGCCATTTTTAATTTAAATTTTTTTTTCATGAAAATTTCTTTAAGGAGTCTTGGATAGGTTAGAGCTGACATTTTTGTGACTCGACAAGAAATGTGGAAAGCACAAGTTGAAGGGCTGTTTATTCAACAACTGTGATGGAAAAAATGATAAATTTGTCACATCTTTTGTTTTGACAAATTTTCGCACTCCCACTTTTCCAGTGTGGTTGTCGGTCCAAATCTGGTTAAATGTAAATCACAAAACCTTTCAGAAATCTAGTCATATGTAACAGGATGAATACTTACAAAGAATGCTACCTTCATAGCCCATTTCAATAGTGTGTGACGGACTTGTGAGGACTCTTGGGGACTCGTTACGGACTCGACTACAGTGCTGCAGTTTTCACAGTGAAAGGAATCATTAATTCAACTTTAATTTCTTGTCAAAGCATTGATGAAATTTCCATTTGATCTGATACTTAATGAAGGTTTGTTGTATCACTTTCTTCCTATTGTAACAGCTTCTACAATTGGGAGACACAAACGTCCACTTCCAACCCCACGCCCAACTACCAGGTCATTGCCGAGAACGCGTCTGGTCTGCTGTTCAAGAACAAGAGGGATCGCAAGATACTGAATGTCGATCCTAAGGTTGGTTTAACGTATCCACTCCAAGTCATGATGGCATTGCTAAACTTTTTTGTATTCCATCAACCGGGGATCAAATGGAGCTTGCAAGCTCAGAAATTTCCTAAGCACGAACAAACATGCTTATGAAAAACAAGTCATCAGAAAAAATGCTGTGTAATGCATATTGCTTGTAACTGTTTAATTTTTAGCCAAGTTTGCATTTAACACTAATTTGTCTGCTTAGTAGTTATTGGCCCCAGATTTTCAGCTTCCAATTGACTCATTTGGTTTTACTCATTGCAGCGTTATTGCAAACTTCAAACATCATTTGTTAACATTGATCATTTCGTAATTTCATATATTTTTTTTTTCCAGGCGGCATCGCCAGGCGACAATTCCACTCGCACGCCCCTGAGCTGCCCCCAGTACACTCAAGTCGTCATCTACGATCACATCACGAGACGGAAAACATAGATGTGCCCAAGATCTGGCACTTTTTAGGCGCTTTCTGGATGGGATTTCGTTTTCGACCGTAAAATTTTGTGTCAAGTTTTACTGTTGCAGCCTATGCATTTTAAATCCACTCTTGTGCACTGCAGGACTGCAAGAAATGAAAAACACTGTGTAGGTTGAAATGCCATATTTAAAATGCATTTTAAGGGTTTTTAAAAAAGGTCCCATTGTAATTAGCAAAGAACTACATGTACATGTACATGGAACTTGACTAACACTTTTTTTTAACTGCCCATTTTTTAAAAACTATTTTGAGAGAATTTAAAGTTATGTCTCCATTGGTTGGATTTCTGATGCAGTAAGCAGCTAAAGATTGCATGACAGCTATATTCTAAGCCCCACTTTATACTATTTTCCTAGTTCAACTAAATTAATATCAACCATTGTAAAAAATAACAATAATAAAATATTGTTATATTGCGTGCTTGGATACTGTAATTTTATTGGTCTGGAACTGCCATGTGTCTTGTCCATAAAAAAAACACATGGCACACACTTACATTGTTTATCCAATTTTAGGCGGATTTTTAGATCAGTGATATCGCACTGCATTCATTGTGCACATATAAAACCTGTCGGTGCGCTAGCTTCTCGCAATGAGAACTGCAGCATCAACTGCTCAGTCTCATGTCCGGCAGGACATCAAAACTTTCAGTAATCAACAACCATTTATCTTTTTGACTTATTGGCACGTTCTCGGGTGCTATGCAAATGAGTTGTTAAAAACGTCATATTTCACATCTCAGCAGTCAACAATTGTTAAATATACACGTATGAAGTTAACAATGCCTTCAAATAATATGTACATGTAGTTGTGTTGGAAGTGTTAACATTTTATAAATCCAACTGCTGTAAAATAATGGAATGAGTATCCAGGGCCTGTTAAAGTTTCTGATTGTGTGTGTACATGTACAAGTCTCTGAATTCCTATCCTAACATTAGTGCAGTTACCTTATGCATGGTAATCCACTTGTATCATAAGCATTGTACAGTTGAAATAAAAATGGATTTGTGTGAGAAACATTTTTTATATGATTGTATGAACTTGAGTTTGTACCAGGAAGAAAACCATGAGGATCAAAGCAATTACTTCCCCATGCTCTTCAACACATTTGATTTCTTTCTCCTAACGAATTTTCAGTTTGCACGTGTTTTATTATATTTTTTTGAAAAAAGTGGGATTTTTTACTACAGTAAGCTTTCGCGCCTTTTGACAAAGAACCGCCTGAAATATATTCTAGCCGCAAAATTAACATTCACAGTTTGTAAATTATTTCCATAATAACTTAACGTGGGCAGACTGTTTCGTTCGATATCTCATTCAGTAGTGAATAACTTTTAAACATTTACTAAACAATTGGCAATTTAAAAAAAAAGGTTTATTTTCGGGATCAAACTTGAAAGTGCTCAGTGTATGTGCGTACGGCAATGTGCATATTTTCACGTAACAATCGAAAGAGGGCGCCATAAACAATCAACGGCGCGCGCGCGTGGCGCCCTCTTGCTAATAAATATTCATATTAAAGTTTCCAGGGTAATTTGCATACTTTTAACAAACATTAGACGATTAGAATTTTGAGCGCTGCAGACGGCTGGACATTTTACGGGGCTTTTCATTGCGAATTTGCGAATTTAAACGACATTTCGTTGGAAGAAAAACACCGCGAGTGATCAGGAGTGTCTCCTGGATTGAACCAGCATGACTCTTCTCGGTGTTTTGGCAGCAGTTCTGCTGCTGACGATCATCCCAACCGCGACCGATGCGAAGTACGTGGAAGGTGTCGTGGACACCAGCAAGGTAAGTTTCAGCTCGCGGGGCCATCGCGTCGCTGGGCCCGTATTGTCTCTGATAGTGATACCGAAACGCTATTCATTCATTCGTTTAACATGTTGAAAGTCGCATCCATGGATGTTTTTACAGATTTGTCGGTCTTGTAATGGTATAAAATTTAAGGGGCAAAGACAGAACTTTCCATTTGCCTACAATGTTTTAATTTTGAATATTTTGTTAAGGCCGGTCATGGGAAAGCGAAAAAAAAGTGAAGTGACTTTTATGACGTCAACAATTGAAGTTTTATTGTGACGTCCACCGCTACCTAGAAATTCGCGTGGACTTACGTGCATGAATCGGCTCATGTTTTCACTCGATACACTTTACAGCTAACGGTATTATTAGTAGGCCTAATCCTGCACATGCACTCACGATTCACAATTTACGCTGTGGTTTCAAAATAAAATGGCGATAGAATACAAAGACCTAGGCCTGTAGGCTGTAATAAAAGTAATGTAGATGTGGATAACCCTTTCACGCGAAGTCATGTGCGAAGCGAAATTCATGTCGTCAACAAATAATGGTGGACGCACTTCGAATGTATTGTTGACGTCACGAATTTCGCTTCGCTTTTGCTTTCGCGTGAAGTATGAGTTCATGAAATGTAATGAGGCCCACTACAACTTACATATATCTTGATCAAAAAGAAAGCTTAGAAAAGAAAGATGTTTTTCTGTAAATAATTTTAGTGCTCTTTATTTTTTTGGTTTTAATTAGGGTGCATAGTTTGCCACAGAGCCAGCTGAGGCAGTGCATAATTTGTATGTGTCTGTGAACTTTCAAAGGACAGTAGGCCTACCAAGATATATATTTTTAACTATGACCAAACAGGACATGGAATTTCTGGAACGATTTGTTTTTGAGCCTGACGAACTGGGACAGCTGTGGTACGAGTTCAAGTATCCTGCGGTGAGTGTCCGAAGAGTATAATGAAATAATCAAAATATAAATATTTAAATAAATTTAAAAAATAATAAACAATTATTGATTTCTCATATCAGTATTCAATATGAACTTATTTTTCAATTATGACCAAACAAATATTGTGCTCAAACAAATATTGTGCTCAATACTAAATACTTCCTCCAAAAAATATCTCACCAACACATTTCATTCCAGCAAATAGAAATGTTATAGCAAACCACAAGCATTTCAGAAATGTTGCACATTTTTTCTCTATTGTTTTGACAGGAACTGTGCTGTTACCAGATGGTGATTTTCAATGACGAAGCCCAACAGTGGCCATATGTGAGAGCCAATGAAGATAAACTGGTATGTATGAGATGAATGTTTGTCTTATAACTTTTTAAGTACAGATGTCTTTTGCACTCTTGGAAGAAAGTGTATCAATGTAACCAAGACGATTCATAATCATATTTCAAGATGTTCCGGTATTCACTAAAAATCTATTTTCATTCCTTTATGCCAGCTTACCTATTATTTGCATAGTTCCTTTGCATACCTACTCAGTATATGCACACACAAAGTTAGTTAAAAAATGAATTTGTTTATTGTTTTTGTGACAGACTTGTCTTGAGAAGAAGGCTCAGATACCATCCCACCACAACACTCAGATCACCCTGAGCACGCCCTACAACTGCAAGAACAGGACCGAAGATGGAAAACAGGTAAAATACAGTAAACTAATTTCCCCATAAACTTTCTGGCATTGGACAATAGTTTTGAGACGCCCCCTGTTTTTTTCGCCTGCCACTTTTCCTTTTTATCACAAGAGAGGGCAAAATGTGCCATACTTACCATTGAATGATTAATTCAGCTCACTGTTGGCATTGTCTTCAGATTCCTTGATAGTTGAGCACAATGTTTCACTTTGGATTTTTTCTCAGAATTTTTTTTTAACCTGGTGAAAAAGAAATAAAAAAACTGTGGAATTGTACTGTATGCAATTGTTCTGAGCATATAACATTATCTCATATAAAGCTTTATATGTAATTTCTAGGAATGGTCCAAGCTATAATATTCATAAAAGAGGTGATTCCAACTTGTTTTTGAAATAATCCTTCGGTTTCTGGAATTTTGTACTTTGTTTTTTGTCTTGTAAACTCACATTTTTTCCTGTGATGTTCTCGAATTGTTAGATGCTCGTGTGTTCCGGCACCCGTCACTTCACGGCCAAACGTCCGCGCTGGTGGTTCATTAATGTGGCCAACTGTAACAACATGAGCCCAAAAGAGGGCGTCCACATCCAGTACAAGCTCAACATGACAAACGGAGTCCGGCCCATGGACAAGCACTTCTCGGCTGACGAACGCTGTGAGAATGACCCCTCCCCCACTCTCAATCCCCCCCCACTCTCAATCCCCCACCCTCCCCTATCCCTCCCCAAACACCCCCACCCCCAGCCCATTCCCAACATAAACAATAAACAGGAGTACGATTGTTCAACATCAAGTTTCGAAATAAAAAATGTATTGTGTGAAGCAAGATCACTTTTGATAAATCTTTGGGCATTTCAAAAAATAAAAAACAAATTTTCATGTTTTGCTCAATTTAAATATTTTTTTTAGGGAAGCAGTTGATCTTGGAATCTTTGTCTCTTTACCATCCTGCCAGTCCTTGCCTTAATATGGCTGTTATTAACAAAGACAATTAAACTGTACTTAATAAAATTTTCCTAGATATTTTTTTCCCGTGCTTAATTTTTTTTTTGTTAATGGATTTCACTCATCACTCTCACTCCAGACACCTTGCAGACAAGTATTGCCTTCGCTGTGCTGTACTTTCTCATGGCGTTGACTGGAGTCTACTACAAATGTGAGTAAATTTCTTTATTTTTCATCTTTTTAAGGTTTTTAAGAGAAAAAAATAGCAGGGGCATATCAAAGGCATTTTCTTTGTGGGGTGTTGAAGCCAATTTGCCAACTGACATCATGCGCTCAGTCAAAATTGCTTGACTATAGACTTTGTTGAAATAACAAGCTTAAGAAGTAGAACACAAAGCATAGTGCAAGGCTCAGTTGTCATGAAACTTGGTAGGTACATAGAATGTTACTGGCATGCAAAATACAAAGCGACGTCATGATGCTCTAGAACAAAGATCTAGTTTCAAATAAATTTACCTTGTTTCCCTTCTCTCCCAGATCAAATGTCCAAGAAGAGGCTTCTGCATTCCACCTACCAGCTCTTCTTCATCTCGATCTGCCTTCAGCTGGCCTCTCTGCTCTTCAGCATCATCGCCCTGGCTAGATTTGCTCAGACTGGAATCGAAATGCCCGACATGAAGACAGCAGGTAAATATGTCATTGAGTTTGTTTACTGGGCACAGGCAAACGTGAAATTGACCTTATCACAAGTCAAATCAAAAGTCAGTCATGAGTCAGTCATGAGTCAGTCTTGAGTCAGTCTTGAGTCAATCACAAGTCAGTCACAAGTCAGTCACAAGTCAGTCACAAGTCAGTCACAAGTCAGTCACAAGTCAGTCACAAGTCAGTCACAAGTCAGTCACAAGTCAGTCACAAGTCAGTCACAAGTCAGTCACAAGTCAGTCACAAGTCAGTCACAAGTCAGTCACAAGTCAGTCACAAGTCAGTCACAAGTCAATCACAAGTCAATCACAAGTCAATCACAAGTCAATCACAAGTCAATCACAAGTCAATCACAAGTCAATCACAAGTCAATCACAAGTCAATCACAAGTCAATCACAAGTCAATCTCAAGTCAGTCTCAAGTCAGTCACAAGTCAATCACAAGTCAATCACAAGTCAATCACAAGTCAATCACAAGTCAATCACAAAGTCAGTCAGTTATCATTCACCAGTCAGTCATTACTTGGGCTGAGACCAGTTCCAAGTCAATAACAAGTCAATCACAAGGAAATCACAAGAAAATCACAAGGAAATCACAATTCACAGAGCATTCTGGGCAAGTCGCAAGTAACATGGCAAAAATATGACAAAGAAATTCCTCTGTCACTCCTGAGCTCAAAACTAGTGTTAATGACTGAATAGGCGAAGTACTCATTGATATGTTTTTAAATGAGAAAAATGTTGATTGTGCTTGTTTTCAGGACATGTGCTGTCATCTGTGAGTGACGTGGTGTTTATTCTGACACTGATGTTGGTTGGCAAAGGTTACACTATCACTAGGTGAGTACATTTTGGTGAAATATTTATTCCAATTATTTATTTGAAAGTAAAATAAAAAAGTAAGTGCAATGAAACCCATGGAAGAAAAATAAAGGGCGTGACAAAGTCTAACCGATGCATTTGAAGACATGATAGAAAACTATAAACCAATTTTGAAGAATGGTATTTCAATCCAATAATAGTGAAATATTTCACATTTAGGTTGTAACAGTAAAATGGATACAAACACATACAATAAAAGTATCTTCAACTTGAGTTGATAATTCTAAATTTTGGTTAGATTCGTAAGCAATGATTAGGATTTGAAATAGTTTCTTGTTTAGATGTCCATTTTAATTATAAATAATTCTGCAAAAAAATGATATTATTTTAGCACAGACATTAAGAGAACAGATGAAATGCAAAAAATTATTATCTTGGCGTTCAAACTTGTCCGATTCCCAGAGGCCGCATCAGTACCAGCGGCAGTGTCAAGCTGGCCATCTTCATCACCCTGTACGCCTTGACCTACACCTTCCTCTACACCTACGCCAATGCCAACTTTGACCCCAGAGACGTCATGTATATCTACGACAGCCCGGCTGGGATGGGACTCATTGTGATGCGCATTGTTGGTGGGTTTTGATACTCTTATAATATTGAGTTTTGCCTATATATGTAGGGAGTGTGGCCTAGTGGTTAGGATTCGTGACTCATGATCAGAGGGTCAGGGGGTTCGAATCCAGCTGCTGGTTATATGTTGTGTCCTTGGGCAAGCCACTTCACCCCACGTGCATCTCTCCACCCAGGAGTATAAATGGGTACCGGCATTATCTGGGGAGTAATTTGCAATGGACTAGCATCCCGTCCAGGGGGAGTAGAAATATTTTCAGTCGTTTCATGCTACTGAAACCGGAGATAAACGCCGGCCTGATGGGCCACATTGGCTCGTGACAGACACTAGCCAATCGGAGTCGACTTTAGAAACTGTGATGTCATTTCGATCAGAAATGTGCATTAAGCTATTGATTGGTCAATTTGGATGCCATGTTTGTGTAATACAAGAACGGGCTACCGAAGACCCAATATAAAACGCGCCAGCTGAATGGTCGGAATCTCGAGATCAAGACGCAGTCTTGTTTTGCATAATTAATTGCCGAATCTGCTTGCATATCATAGACCCTTGCTGTGCAAGGGGATATTCCATAGACAACCCAAACCGAAGGGGGGGGGGCAACAATATTTTATCCCCCTAAAAAGTGGGTCCAAAAATGTTCTGCCCCAATTTAAATAAGAAAAGCAGGGGGGGGGGGGGGGAGGGCACTTGTGTTGAGTTTTGTGGGTCCGCCGTTGCACAAATCCCTCACATCCAACTTACCAGTGGAGATGTATAAATGGACTGCCATATCAGGAAAACTACTTCTAAGACTGTTATCAGGCTCAAATCCTATATAACTCACTATCTCTTACCTATTCATTGCAGGCATTGTCTGGCTGTACTACTGTGTCTTCTTCACCGTCAAGCACTTCAACCAGAAGTTCAAGTTCTATCTGCTGTTCATGGTCTTCTACGTGGTCTGGTTTGCGATCGAGCCCGTCATGATAGGAGTGGCCAATGCTTTCATCCCAAACTACAAGAGGTATTATCATTACTGTAAATTTGATTTGTTTTCTTCTGGTGGGGAAAGCATGTTTTTTTTATACAATTAATCCTTTGAAAAAAAAATCATCTTCAAGGTCACTATAAATTGTTACCAACTTTTAAGCTTGTAAAGATAGCAGTTTCAGCGCCTGCACAGCTTTTGCTGAAATGCCTCTTTAATTGGCAGACTTGCTGAATGTGTCTTATATCACAACCAAAAAAACACATATATTTCTGATAGAATGTAAAATCAAAACAAGTTTCGAAAATTGTGTGTGGGGGGGCAGGGGCTTACCTTGAGGTGTTGCATGATTATAGATTTGTGATAAGCTTGCATTTGAAAGAGGCTGAAAACAAAATTACTCCTTTTATTCTTTTTTTTATACTTTATACAGAGTCAAGATCGTAACTGGAGTTTACTGGACAGTGTCGTTCATCGGACAGATGTACTTCTTGGTCCTGACCCGGCCTGACATGACCAACGAGTACTTCCCATATCACATCAAAACCAATCAGGTAGGACTATAATACAAGGAGAGCTATTCAAGAACATTAGTACAAGAGTGCTTACAAAAAATGATGAGCATATTCGTAAAATAACTTTTCAAGTGACTTACAAAGCTGTAACCTCTCTGAGTGATCCCGTCTGCTATTTTCTGGGTTTGCATCATTGCTAATGTTGGGTGGGATTTCCAGACTATCACAGCATCCCTTGAACAAAGACAAAATGGGAAACCGCCAACATAGGGCTGGATAGCTCAGTTGGTAGAGCACTGGAACAGAAATCTGGAAGCTCATAGGTTCAAACCCTACCCAAGTCGATTGCTTTGTTCAAGTTTCATAAATTATTTTAATGCAAGTCGGTTTCCCATCTTAGTTCATTTTAAGTAAAATAGACTGGTTACTTTGAACATGGGGGGGGGGGGGGGTTGAGTGAAGGCACCCATTACTAAGGAAAATTTTGAAATCGGTGATGCTTTCCTCTACATTCTAAGGCAATCTGAGAATAAATTCAAGAATTTTAACATTCCATGTAATTATTTTTGGCCCCATTTTACTATATTTTCATGACATTAGTCAGCGGCTGGAAAAGGGGAGGGGGTATTGGGACCCCCCCCCCCCGAATCCGCTACTGCCTATGCAAACTTCTGCCAATGTTTACTCACCACCGTACAAGATCCCAAACCACTTTTCAATCATACATGCATCTACTTACAGGTTGCTGCTTTGCTTGTCACTGAACCGTCTGACGATGAGGAGTCCAACTTCACCAATCCATTCATTGGAGCTCCGCTGACACGCTCACTCACCAACATCTTTGTGAAGTCACCAACACCAAAGGTCACCGTGGATGCTGTATGTATATATAAGAATACATCCCCCTTCAGAAAGTTGTTGCTTTTGTCACCATGATTTAAAAAAAAAGGATTAAAGAAACATTTTCAGATTAATTTATCTTATAATGAAGTGCCTATATAGCGCTTTATACCCGAGGTCTCAAAGCGATTCAAAATTATTACCCCTGTTCATCAGGCCATGAGACCAGTTTTTGCAGCAGCTCTAGATCAGTGCATTCTTGTCTCTACCTTCACAGGTACCCATTTATACTCCTGGGAGGAGAGAGGAAATTGTAGTAAAGTGTCTTGCCCAAGAGCACAAGCACCATGTTCCCTGTCAGGGTTTAAACTCACATACCACGGGATGTGAGTTGAACAACGTAACCACTGGACCACAGTGCTCCACACAATTAATATTGCTCCACACAATTGGAATATGTTTTAATGAAGAAATTCACAACCCCACTGCAGTTCTAATATGATAATTTGGGAATGTCCCTGCAAAGTTTAGCAAGTTCTTACTTTTGATTCTGGGTCTTGAAGTGATGTGGGGAGCCTGTAGTCTAAAGTGTATCTTTTTAAAATCGTTCTTGCCACACCAAAAATTCAACAATCTACAATTGTCAAAATTTTACTTTCGTTAGAAAGTCATAGTATACCAGTTCTGATGTGGGGTGCACAAATCACAGGTTGATTAGAGTCAGAGTTCACATTCTGAGTTTTGCCTTTGATTCAATTTTCCAATCTCTACAGCCCTACAAAACTACTCCATCAAGACCAGTGGCCGAGGCTAGAATAGTTTCCGAGACCAAGCCGACATCCAAGGCCAGACCAGGGCATCCCATCGTGAACAACTTTGTCACCGCCTCACTGCACGCTGCCTCGTCCGACGATGTGAACGACAGTACTCCAGCTCCGACACCACCAAAGGTTTGAGGACAATACATCAGTACAAACCAGACCATAATATTTCCTTGTTACATGTACTTGTTTCCATCTGGGTCATTTTATAAACTGACATTATTCCTGTCCCTGTTTTACCTTGGTGCGCCGCTCCAGGGTGAGTGAAATATTTTTTTAATTTTTTTAATTTGCAGCCGGCTCCCAAACCAGGACCAAACTTTGCCATGTTCTGTGTGGAGAAGCCCAAAGCACAGCCGACTGACAATGTAAGTTACCATCCTTAACCTTAAACATTCCATGGTGCCTTAGCAAACAAATTCCATCATTTTCTATCCAAATGCCAATGCTGAAAACTGTCATCATTTGCCATCATATCTAAACTCTAAACTTCCTTCATGTTTAATCATATACCTGAGCCTAAAAATACTTCTATCAAAAGCTTCAGAATTCCATTGCATTTATCATAAGCACTCAGGTAAAAACCTAGGCTGAACCAATTCCATCATATTCCATCAATTTCAGGTGAAGATCGAGAACGAAACTCAACCGGCCGTCAACACCAGGTCTCCTCCCAAGGGCAAGAAACACGGCCTGAAGCTTCCGGCTTTGCCCAAGAAGATCAAGCCTCAGCAGGCCGCCGCCAAGAGATCCGCCTCTTCTGTTTCCCCAGTGACTGGTACCCGTGCTCCGGCAACCAATGACCGTAAGATCGACGACCGCGGCACTGAAGTGAAGGAGCAATGCTCCTTTGACTTGGAATTTGTTGACATCCCATTAGACGACCTGACCATAACCGATATGTAGACCGATTGCCTCTCGACAGCCCAAGATGTGTTTTTTGCCTTCTTATTTTCTCTTTTTTTTTTTTTAATTTGCAAATTTTCCCCCCTTTTTTGAGTTTCAACACCTTTATTTCTTTTTTTTGTGTTCTCATTTTTCCATTTTTATTTTAACGAGTAAAATTTTGTTCAGTTTTTTTAAGCCACGGTGTTTTTATTTTTTGAATCGCATAATTTTGGACTCACAAAATTTACTTTTTAATTTTTTTCCCAAAAACTGGTTTTGGCTTTTCAACTCTGATGATTCAGGTTTTTTTTTTTCATCAAAATATACTTTTAAAAACATTTGGTTTTTAGCCATTCATTTCTTTCATTGTTTTTATTTCCTTTTGTTCCCATTTAAAAAAAAAAAATTGGTTCATTTTTTTTAGGCACTGATTTCTTTCATTTTTTTGTTGCAGAAAATTAGGAATTTTTTTTCAGTTTACAACTTTTTTTTTAGATTTCAATCTCGCATACGTTTTTTGATCAGAAACATTTTGTCTTCATTTTTTTCAGCCACCAAATTTTTTCATAGTTTTGGTTCAGAATATTTACATTTATCGGTCACATTCAAATTCTTCACAGTATCAGGTTTTGGCTTTTTTGGTCTGTTGATTCCACAAAGTGACACCAACTTCGACATACCACGTTTGCAGTTTGCAGTAAAGCAGAGAATTTCACATCATTTGCTACAGCACATTTCAGATCAGAAACATGCAGGGTAAAAATCAAATCGAGGTCAGATATTAAATCAAACTAAAGCAGGTAAATCCAATATCAAATTATTTCAAAGTTCACATTCTAGCAATCAGAACATGGCAGGTTTTTTTCATCTGAAAATTCAAGTTCCTCTTTACCAGCACCCATTTGCTCCTGGGTGGAGACACACAGTACATGTTATACTTACAGTAAAATGCCTTGCTCAAGGACACACTAGATACCTGCCCTCACCACCACCCATTTGCTCCTGGGTGGAGACACACAGTACATGTTATACTTACAGTAAAATGCCTTGCTCAAGGACACACTAGATACCTGCCCTCACCAGCACCCATTTGCTCCTGGGTGGAGACACACACGTACATGATATACTAACAGTAAAACGCCTTGCTCAAGGACACACTAGATACCTGCCCTCACCAGCACCCATTTGCTCCTGGGTGGAGACACATGTATATGCTATACTTACAGTAAAATACCTTGCTCAAGGACACGCTAGATACCTGCCCTAAGCAGCGCCCATTTGCTCCTGGGTGGAGACACACATGTACATGTTATACTTACAGTAAAATGTCTTGCTCAAGGACACACTAAATACCTGCCCTCACCAGCACCCATTTGCTCCTGGGTGGAGACACACAGTACATGTTATATTTACAGTAAAATGTCTTGCTCAAGGACCTATAGATACCTGCTCTCACCAGCACCCATTTGCTCCTGGGTGGAGACACACACGTACATGTTATACTTACAGTAAAATGTCTTGCTCAAGGACACACTAAATACCTGCCCTCACCAGCACCCATTTGCTCCTGGGTGGAGACACACAGTACATGTTATATTTACAGTAAAATGTCTTGCTCAAGGACCTATAGATACCTGCTCTCACCAGCACCCATTTGCTCCTGGGTGGAGACACATGTATATGCTATACTTACAGTAAAATACCTTGCTCAAGGACACGCTAGATACCTGCCCTAAGCAGCACCCATTTGCTCCTGGGTGGAGACACACACGTTCTTGTTATACTTACAGTAAAACGCCTTGCTCAAGGACACACTAGATACCTGCCCTCACCAGCGCCCATTTGCTCCTGGGTGGAGACACACACGTACATGTTATACTTACAGTAAAACGCCTTGCTCAAGGACACACTAGATGCCAAGACTAATCCACTTGATGTTTCCAAACCTAACATCAAGCTCTATTCAGACAGGTCAGTTAATTTTTCATTTTTCTGTTTAGCTTGTGTGGATTTTTTTGTTGGGGGGGGGGGGCGGGAGTACAGTTTTCCTGCATCAATTACAGAATATCTTGGGGTCATTTTTTTTTTGATAAGTGTTCATTAATTGATTAAATTTTTTTGGGGGGGGGGGGGCGGGGGAGGGGTGTAATTAAACTTGCTCTTGGGCTGTGCCAACAACATATGTCATCCAAATCTGACACTCTAAATTTCACTAGCAAAACAATCAACTTGATTTTGGTTCATCAAATATCCATCCCCATCTGCAACCACACACATGCATTTTTAAAATTGGTAATAGATCACAAACATACTGTTTCACACACATCTGCTGCTTTTTCAGTTCATCGGTCAAGAATTTCACGTTTTGGTTAATTCGGCAACATCCAGTTGGTCCTCCACTAACTGGCTTTTTTTTTCATTTTATTAGGCAAGAACTTCATTTTCTGGTGGATTCTTTATCATTTCTGTCTGGCAACGCAAATTTTCTAAAACATCCAATGATTTGCTGTATTGACGACACACAAGTTATTTTTTTTGTTTTTCCCATTTTTCATCCCTCTAGGACGTTCCCATCGTTTTCAAATTTCTGTCCAGCGTAGCAGGGAGGTCATGTATTTACCAAGCTATCGGTCTCTTTAGACCCCAATTGGAATCTAGTTGACTAACCTGCAATGAATCTTTTTCGTTTTTAAATTAATTAAAATGCGTGACATATAACATTAAGTTTCTTTGCTTCTCCTTTTTAAACAATTTTTTTATAGGTTATTTAAATTTTGCTGCGCGCAAGTCCTGTTTCCGATATATCTCTGTAGGTCCAATGAAAAACGTCGTTAGTTTTCTTCATCCTTGTTTCTTCATCTCAACATTTTTTTCCCGCTTAATAGTGTAGCTTTCTCTTACATTTCTTTCAAAATATTAAACAAATTAAAGACTTTCTTTGTCTTCCCACTGAATATATATTTTTGTTTTTAAGTTGTCAATACAGCCTATCATTGTGATACATTCTAGCCAACCCACAGATATATTTCTTTTGATTTCTTATTTTATAATTGTTGGCACAGCCCATGATTCAACGGGATTTCTTGAAAAACATCAACATTTTTTAGTTTAACATATTTCAAGGCTATTTCTTTCTTTTTTTCAATTCATTCAGGGTTTTTTTTTTCAACAAAAAAAATCAATTCGGCAAGGCGTCTTTAAATTTATCATATAGAACTTTCTCAACAATATTTCTTTTTTTTTATGTTTCAAGCTCAACTTACATTTTTGTTATACAGTACAGTATTTTATTTAGTCAAACTGGTATTAACAGGATTTCATCTACTCCAAATGGTCTCTTAAAAGTTGTAAGTTCATTTTTTTTCCTATTTCAAATCTCATCATTCAGTAGATTTTTTTTCATGGTATTCACACACTCCAATGCGAATACACACACAATTTTTTCTTCGTCTTTCAAATAACTAGAGTCACTCTCACAAATTTTCATTCATGCAACAAGTAATCAATTCATTTCAAACACACACTATAGACACAGAAATTATTAGGTTCATTTGCAATTCGTCAATTCAAAGCTTTCGCAATTCAGTTAACATGGTCATCAAGAACTGCAAACTGTAGTGTCAGTACTGTTAGCGTGTTGATCAAGTTGGATGTCATGTCAGGTCATCGGTCACTTGTGGAGTCACTGTGTGGAGTCAAAAACCAACCAAATTCAAGTCTGAATCAGTCGTCTAGTCAACTTCTGCATTTTCAATTTTGTTCTCTCTCTCTTTTTTTGGTAAGAATCATCAGAGTTTCATGTTCCATCAAAAGAAATGCCAAAACCTTACGAACATTTGTCACAATATTGTTTTTTCTTTTTAAGTTTCGAGTAAAATTTGTCACAATATCGTTTTTTTTGTGTTTTTTTTTCAAGTAAAATCATCATGGATAGGTGTTAAGTTCTTCTCTGTTATTTTCATTTTGTTTCCTTCTTGGCTACTGTTGATCAATGGTAACTATGCAGTGGCTAATTAGGGAACCTGATTAGATATCTTTTTGTTTCTTTTTATTTCATTTGTCAAAATTGAACACACAAAGTTGAGTTATGCATCTTGGTTTTTTTTTTAACCATTATTTTTTTTTTCATTTTCCAGTGCAAGGGCGTCATGGTTTTTTGGATCTTAAATTTAGGGGTTTTTTTTTCCTTTTTTTTTTTTTTTTTTCTTGGCTACTGATGACCAATGCTAACTTTACAGTGGCTAATTAGAGAACCCGATTAGATTTTTTTTTAATTTTTCTAATTTTGAATACAAACATTTGAGTTATGCATCTTGGGCTGTCGAAAACCAACATCACTTACAACAACTCAGTGATGTTAGGGTCCTTTGGAAGTATTCGCCATCGTTCTTGCCATATCGTACCTTTGTCATATTTCAACAATCTGCTCTCGTCACAAATTTATCAAAAAAAAATTATTTGGAATATGCTAATTTGGAAAGTTTGAAATTTAGTTAGTAATCAGTGGAAACGAGCCGCAACTTTGGAAGGAAAGTGCCTTCAATTCTAATTCAAGAAACAAATCACGAATTCGTGGATGACAGTTTGCATGGATTTTTTTGTCATCTATATTTAAACAAAACCAGAACATTTGTGCCACCAAAATGCAAATGGCAAGTGTACCATATTTTATTCAGAGAAAAACAGAAAACCAGTTATATGTACATGTTGTATTTCAAAATTGTGAAATCATTTAGTGTGGAACTAGGAAACAGCAAACACAATAAAAGAATAGATGAAAATGAACTTAAAATGTACCTAATTCAGCAACCAGCAGCAGTGAAAACCAAAAATTAAGCAGTGAAGAAACTTAAAAGATATTGAAGCAATCATTGGAAAACAAAATTGTAATTCAGCGTAAATGGAAAACCGCGTAAGACAACGAAATGAATTTCTAAGATGAATTTTTCTTTAGTCATTGAAGCAACAAGTGCATTTTTTACAGAGAAAGGAACTTCAACATTAGATTTACTGGTAAGGGACAGCATTCAAATTTATTCAAGAAAACATTAAGATTTAGCACTGGGAAATTCAAATTTATTCAAGAACATTATTGGTAAGATTTAGCAATTAGAAAAACAAGGAAAGTAACAACATTTTAGGAAAAACTGGTAGGGTGAGCTTCCAGCTCTTCATAATAACTATTGTTTCTTATTCAAATTTATTCACAACCTGGTAGAAAAAAAACCATACATTTATCTCTGTAAAAAAATAACAGCAAATATTTGTCAGCGAAAAACAAAGCAGCTTTGATGATGTTCTAAGGAACAAATAAAGATATTGAAAACAAACTAAAGTTTGTTTATTTTGTGTCAGTTTTGTTCTGTTGTCTTTTGAGTTAAACCACAAGTGCCCCCCTTTTCCTTTCTATGCCCCTCCCACTCCTAGAATTCAGTTACTTTTGTTTGATTATGTCCACGACAAGTGATGATTATGTGATGATTATAATGATTAAAGACTAAAGGTTCAGTGATTACAATGATTATTTCGGATAGAACGTAGTATCCTGATGCCACTCTGGTAATTGTGTATTAAGTCTTTGGGGAGTTGTCAAATATACTCGCGAAATTGGAAACGTTTCTCAGTCACGTTTCTCTAAAACATGTCATAAGTGAAAACACAGCCCTCTTTCTACAAAATTAAGCCAGCTGATATTCAACATGGTATATTAGTGAACTATTTAGATGATTTCAAAGACATAAAGTAACATTGCCAGCTTGTAACACAGCCAAATGTTTAGGAATCAAGTCCTAAAACATAAAAGTCTTTTTGTTATTTCCAGCGGGAAAAGAATGTAGTATCCAGACGCCACTTCGGCGGTTGTGTACAACGTCTATGGAGAGTGAAGTATTTCCCAACAAAAATTAGAAGTGTTTCTCAGTCCCAAATGCATGTCTTTTCAACATTTGTTGCATAACTGTCCACTATTGAGATGATATAATATATGAAATATAATTATTAAGAAAAAAAGTGGCGTTAGGTTGCAACAGTCTTTCCCCATTTTCCCTGATGGAAAGATTCCCATATCTGGCCATCACTTGTCACCCTGTGCACAAACCCTATGAGTCTGGTCTGAAAATTTCAAAGTGTTTTCTCAGTAAATAATTCAATATTTTCCCAGCTAAATTTGACCTTTTAGGACATATTATCACTTTCTGATGGTTGATAGGTCACTGAAGGGAAAAAGTAGTGATGGCCAGATATGGGAATCTTTCCTTTCTGATTTTACATGCATTCAAAATAATGGACAACTACTAAATTTTAGATAATATTTTTGAATAATGATGTTGGCCACAAGTTACATTAACCATAACTACAAGATTGCGCAAACAAACTCGGAAAACAGATAGTCTTAATTAAGTGCATCAAAATATATGCCCTAACTTAGCTCCACACTTACTTGGTCATGGTAGCCAAAGACCTTCCATCAATGCCCATACCAACCACGCCCAGTATCCCATGAACCAAACCCTGCACAGCCCTCCACAAACGACCACACCTCACCACCAGCAGCACGCAACAGCATAGTTACAGTGCGTGGCTTATGGAAATTCCATGCAGTAACGCAGAACAATAGCATTTTGAACAATGAATGGACCAGTGCACAATCTGGTGAGGGGTGTGGTGGTTGTGAGGGGCAGACTGAAGCAGAGTTTAAAGTTTAGGAAATGCCAAATTCTTGAGCGGAAATTGTATAGCAGTCACTTATTTATAAACAATTGCCAGCAATCTTAGTATAAAATGACAATATTAACAGCAGCTACAAACGAAGCCAGTTCGTATTTTTACACAAGAACTAAATGATCTTAAAGAATTTAAGTTATATATATATGCAAAAATGGTACTGGGAAAATTAACACAAATTAGACCCACAAACTTAAATTTTATACACGCAAATTGTACATGCATATTTCTATATACAAATGATAAGGACGAAAATCTCAAGATGTGGGATCAATATTTGGAAGTAAATCATTCTCATTTTGCATATACTATAGAAATATACTATAGGAATGTAAATAGTACGGGCATAAGCAACAAATAGCAGTATTTAACTGAGTACTCCAATACAAAACGTACTGATATATTTTCATGTTTTTGTATCTTCATACAATACTCAATGCTGGCAAAAACAATGAGAATTCATTCTAATCGTTTTCCACTTCAAATAAAAAAAAATCGTAACATTTGTCATTAAACATGCCTTTGTTTGTGGAGCATATTAGAAGTTACAAAGTACCATGCACAGAAATGCTTCAGGCATTAAAGCTTAACTTAGTGGCTTGTCTTTAATAAAACGAAAACAAAAGACAATAGTGTCTTTCTTCTGATTCTGGGCGGATAAAACCTCTCGATGTCTGATCCCTTCAAGGTACCCTGATAACTATCCAATCCAGTCTAGCATAATCACTGGGGATTGTGGCACACTCCTAAATACGAACCGGCCCATTCTCAACTCGGCAGCAACATCCCTGAAAGAACAAGACAAATTTAAGTCAAAGCAATTTTTTATTTCCCGCAAAAAGTTTCCTTAATCTATAAGGCTCTAGCCCTCTTTGGACCCTTTGTTATTAAACGAAAAGTGAACAGATACAGATCCCAGTTATTTTGAATATCTGAGCGAGAACAGCTTAGTTGGCGCATCAATAAAAAAAACAACTAATATGTGCTTGGCCGGTTTTAAACACTATGTTTAAAACCGGTTTGGAGACTGGACGCTGATAATGACCCGAGCCGGAGGTCAAACAGTCAAAACAAGTCAGAAATTATAAAGTTCCAACGTTTTTGTTCAACAAATTTACTTCATGTTTTTTAAACACCCCTCTAGCTGTGTTATGGTATATGCCTCTCGATCTCGCGAAGTAGTCGTAAACAACTTCGAGATTGGCGGGCGCGTTGCGTGCATTGAGCGATGTGGCGCAAAAGGCGCAAAACGCAGCTGTGCCGGTGGAGTGTGAATTACTATGAAATACGGACTCGGTAGTATTGCGCATGCACAACCGAGGATTGTGAACGTTCAACCAATAAAAGGTTAAAAGGCAATGGATTTCATAGGAGTTCAAAGTGTTTAAGACCAGCCAGCCGGTGTTTCATCAACCGATTAAGACCAACCACGTGACGGGCTAGACCAACAGGAATGGCTAAACTGTCTCAGGTATTTATGAATGAAGTATTATAATGAAAAGTCTGTCATACCTTTTGTCCCGGCGCCGGTCTCATGACAGATATCCGATCATACAAAGATCTGATTGGAGTGAAACAGGCGGCAAGTGCTTTCTGTGTTGAAAGAATTGAAAGAAAAACAACACAAACAGGTGTTTATGTTTTCTCAATCAGTGTTTACAAATTTTTATCTTCGGGGAAAGATGTATGACCACGCAAGTAATTCGCGAACCCACCTTGAAGTTGTCCATGCATCCTGGGGCTCCGTATCTGATGGCTGCACTTTCATCTACTTCTTTGACGACCTTCGCATCTTTAGCTTTCTCCAGATGAGATCCTCCTTCAGTGCAACCCTTATCGCCCCAACGAACCTGTTTGATTAAATATCAAAACAACTATTAAAATAAAAACTAACTTAATTACTGGAAAAACAAGTGCACAATTGAACGAGTCTGGTAAGCAGCAAAAAATATAGTTACCACATTTATTTAATAACAAAAGTTGAAAATTATCCCGAGCGAAACACACCTGTACATCCCTTGATAATTCGGCCAATTTCATGAATTTGCAAAACAAATTGATCACAAACATGGTGTCTTATTTTAGCTGAGGGTCTATTTTAAAAACAGGATTATTTTATTTCTCCAGTGAAGAACATTTCCCTGACTGCTTCTTTGTACACATTTCCTTCCATGTTTTTAGATATCGTTATCGATTTGCTAACATTTTATTCAAATAATGAATGTTTGCGAATGCAATGATATTCATGAGGTGTCTGATGGAATGTTCCATTCTACGAGGCGAAGACGAGTGGAATGGAACATTCCATCCGTCACCGAATGAAATTATTCTTACCATTGCACTAACGTCAAACATTCATATTTGTTTTAATATACATCACCTGAATAAATCCTCGTCACCTGATTGGTCAGAGGCACCAGTGACCGTGCAATTGAACTTCTATATTTGCCGTGCGGCGAATAATTCAATGACACGTGATCAACGATACACCAATCAGATGACGGGGATTTGTTCAGGCGTTGTATAAAACAATATACCACGTGACTTGGTGTTAGCCACAATTCCCGCTCACAACTCAAAAGGAACTGCGGTTCAGTTGAACAATCAAAGGAAGTATTTTTACAAACATTTGATAATCTTATCTTCTTGGTAATTCATTTCAAAAACAAGGAACTGAGATCAATGTTTTGTCAAGTCGAGGTGCCAAGTTTGAGTAACCTTTGGCACGTGACAAAGCTAGTTCTTCGACCAGGAATTCCACTTCCTTCAAGAATTCAACCGCACAACATAAATTATAATCTTCTTTGTACTTCATTTCAAAAATAAGCACAGTATGTCATCAGTGTTTGCAAATATGTCGAATTTTAGGAACAATGGTACTCTGACAAAAGATATTTCTAATATCAAAACAATCCCTCTCCTAAATTGTAATATATACACGGGAGAACAACAACAAACCAAAATCAAAAGAAAACCGGATTTTCCCCTCCGGTTTAAATAAATAGCGTTTGTATTTTTCCACATAGTTTCCTCTCTTTATGTTTGTGTTATCATTTCTAACGTCGATTATATCTTTGCTAGTGGTTTTATGAATTTGATCTCTTATTTTTTTTTACCCTGTTTTATAGCCTAAGAGAGTTTATTCATCAATTGTGATCCTTTATATTAGTATTTTTAACCATCAATTTCCCTTTTCTACCATTTTAGGTTTTTAGACCATTAAAAGTTTTTTTAAACAAAGTTTGTATGTTTGTGTAATCCTTTTAATTATGCAGTTCTGCCGCGACCAATCCCAACCCCTTTATTTTATTTGATTGAAAAGGAGGTTTAATTCTATTAAAAAATGGACCGAAAGTCTCCGACTTAATAAAAACAAATCCAATTCAATGAAAAATAGACATTTATTTGGTGGACTCAAGTCAAGGGTTGGGAGTGTTTTTTGGACTTCTCACCGTGACGGGCTTCATGCCGCCTACTCCTCCTCCGCCGTACACCGAGGCGTTGACTGCCGGCCACTTCTTGCCGGAGGGCGACTCGGGTTCCGGTGTTGGGGGTGGGGGTGGAGCTTTCACAACCTGGCGGAAAAAAAGAAAAATAATTGTGACCTTTCAAAGCATCGGTTAAAAATCCATTTGTTTGAGTGTTTTTAATTCTTTTTTTTTCTCTTCCTGCTGTCAGTAAATAAACGAAGCTCTGATATTCACTTAAAAACAATTGGTTTTTATTATAAGGGCGTATTTAATTATTTTTCCTCTTGGCTCTTCGATTTTTTGATGAAATTCATTGACAACAATAAAATGTGAGGAATTTTAAAATCTTTTTGGTTTTGCTAAACATGCCACATGCGCGGCCAAGTATACCAGAATTGTCCAATACCATGATCTGAGTAAGGCTCCTGTCTCTTTCATATACATTATTTTGCTAACGAGTTAAGAGACACTACATGATCGATTAATCAGTCATTAATATCGATAATCTAATTTTAAACCCAGATACAATTTCTTTACAGCAGATTGACTGCAAATATTATCACTCACCACACAGCAAAGTAAATTCCAGAACCACCACAGGGCCAACAGTCCGAGAATGAGAAGTGCCAGGAAAACTCCAAGCACGGCACCTGTCACGTCCGGCTGAAAATAAAGGAACAATTCCCAACGAAAAATAGTTACTTTGTTGATCTATACGTCGTGTTCTGAGGGAGTTCTACCAAATCTACTACTTTCTGTCTGGGGCTAATGTGCCAATTGGTAAAACTATTGAGCACCAATGCTCGTTTAAATATAGCATTAATCAAACATTTACTGATTGCAGTAATAGGTATTAGTGTCATGTAAAGTTTTATAATTAATGCACTGTGTAAGTGTATACCTGTATGCAGTTTGTGGCCTTGATGGTCACGTTACTTGAAATGAAGGAAATCCCATTGACCGAGACTTGCAACACCACAAAGCTGAAAAAAATAACAAAATACTTTGTAAGTATACAAATTCTGTCAACGAATTGAAAATTAAAAAAACAGATATATATTTGACAGAATTACATGACTGACTGCACATTCTCTGGAATCGCTTTGAACTTTACTTATAATAAACTCAAGTAGGCCTACTCAACCAAATTTACAGGAAGTAAACATCATCAAACGGAAAATGGATTGGATGTTAAACTTTGAACAGTGTGAGATACTAATCAAGTGAAAGGTTGAAAAAGAGTGTTTTTCTTTGGTTTCGACATTCCAGGAACGGCATGATTTAAAAAAAAAAAATCTGCTCTAGGTTTACCGGGAGTACTTTCGAGTCGCTGTATCAAAAGACAATTTCAGAACTGCTCGGGAATTCATGGCAAGGCTAGACATTTCTACGTGCTTCAAAGTATTTCCAGATTGTGTGAAAACCTCACTGATGCAACAGCAACAAAATGAAAACGCTATTATCTTATATTGCAGGGTTATCATACCTGCCAGATGTTTCAATCTTTGGTGCTGGACACAAGAGGTGACTTGACGACACAGAGATCGGATGCACCTCTGCATGGAAAAAAATACCAAATTGAATTCGTTAGCTATCAAATTTTTTTTTTTCATTGGAGGAAAACAAACACCACAGCTACAATACCACCCCAGATGCTTCTATATATAGTAACAATAAAAGTGTTACAGGGAGGGAGAAAAGTAATATGTATATTATTCAAATTGTGTAATATATTGAGATGTTTGAAAGGGGAAGAAAATGTTAAAAACATATCTCACAGTTATTTTTATAATATATATTTTAATCAAACTGAGTGATAGTGAGAAGTGAAAAGGGAAGAAAATATTGAAATATCTAACAGTTATTTATATAATAAATATTTAAATCGACTTTATTAATAGTGAGAAGTGAAAAGGGAAGACAATCTTGAAAAAAACATCTGAATTTATTTTCAAAATATATATTTTAATCAAATTGTGTAATAGTGAGATGTGAAAAGGAAAGAAAATCTTGAAAAACAATATCTCACAGTTATTTTTGTAATATATATTTTAATCAAATAGAGTGAAGAAAGGTTGAAAATCTTGAAAAGACAAAACTGTACAAATGTAGTAAAAGAAAGAGATTTAATTTTAATGTACACCATCAAGAAGGATTTTGAAGTTCGGGAAAGCGACAAGACGTCGAAAAAGAAACAATTACCCTGATTATCTGTGTCGTTGAGCCGGAAGTTGCAGATCACTTTACTGACGTTGTCGGTCTTGGTGAAACCGTTGCCGGTGATGCTGACATTGAAGGCCTCTGCAATGAAAACGCGCAAAAAAAGATACATCTTTGTCAACTTGTTACCGTCGTTACAGCTGCCATAGTGGGCAGACCGGAGTTGGATATGTAACTCGTGTGCGACTCAAAAATACTCTGAAATCATTGTCGGTTGTAACAGAATAATTCTTACCACCAGCGCAGATTGACGTAGGAGAAGCTGAGAGAATCTCAATGCAAGATGTATTGACAATCTGATGAAGAAAACAATAAGTTGTTCTCAAGAAATGCAAAAACTGGAGATGAAATAATTACAGGTAAATCAGAGATTTATCGTTAATATCATCATAATAGTTTTGCCAAGATGTTAAAAATAAATACATTTTCAGTTCATTTGAGGATAAAAACTGGTTTCATGCCTGTGTTCTACATACTAAGTTATAAAGCAAATGCTAAAGAAAATACTAGTAATGTATTAACAGCTGCAGACAAACATGACACTAAACGTGCCCTTATAAACGTATAATTGTATTCCTGGTATTCGTCTGTAACTGTTCCATGATTTGTCTTGTTTTGGCCCGAGGAAGATAACAAACAACAACATTTGTTCCTTTTTCTTATATGTTGGCATCTCTATCTTAACACGTCTATTTCGATGTAAATCTGCTTCCTGAGTACTGTCATTCAAGATGTCTATTTGAAAATAATTTAAAAATTGAATTGCACAAACCTGGGTGATAATGGACTGGAGATCGTTGAACGTGTCCCCTCTGAAGATGTGTTCCTTGGCCGGCGGATCAGCTACCTTCTGCAGGTCCCTCAAACTACTGTCTCCTACCCTGACCGCCAAGACTTTAGCTCCCAGAGAGCGTGAGATGTCCGCCTGACAGCACAGAGATCAGGGTCAAACATTTCATTAAGCCTCCTGCTGTCTGAACAGTCACAGACAATCAATCCTCTTCCCCTGCCATGCCTTTTACACAAGCTAGTCACCAACAGTCAGATCATATTTCAAGCAAGCACTGTGACTAGTCAAATTCAGTCAACGGACAAAAGCAGGCAAGTAGTAAGCACAGCTGGCTTATCAAACACCTACAGTCAAAGCATAGCTGTATCAAGTTACATAAACACTCACAGCCAGTCAATCCTGCTTTATGTAGGCTGGGAGCTCTCAACTGTTAAAAAACAGTTACTTGATTGATTTTGACTAAAAGGACAACTTTGCTGAGAGTGTATGTTTTGCAAAGGAGGGTTAATATAAAAAAAAGATTAAAATTTCTTTATGAGACAAACTTCGAATTTGTTGAAGACCACCGGACTCAATTATCCACCTACACGTTATCCACCGTGTAGGCCTTAATAAAACTAATGACTACAAACGGAATCACTGATCAACAAAATGATTGATTTGTCTTAATAAAAACTACCAGGCAGACTGATTGTTTAAGCGAATTCGGAAAATGCTATTTTTTTTATATACCTCCTCAGCTGCCGCCTGTCTGTCGTCAAGAATTCCATCCGTCAATGTAATGATAACACTGGCTGTACCATCGTCTGCAAAATTGTAGTGATAAAAACGTTAATGACAAAACCTTTTTTATTTTCATAAAAAAAACTTGACAATTTTTAAGTCCGCCGTCATTTCTTTTCTGATTTTCTTTCGCCATCACTTACTTTCGTGAATTGATTACTTTCCTTTGGGCAAAACACAGAAGTGAAGGATTTTAGTGTGGGGCGAGACAAACGAAATATAAAAATCATGTGTGGATAAAACAAAGGCACTCAACAAAATTCTGACATTGGAATTTGGGGAAAAGAGTTGGAAGTATTTGACAAAAGTTTTACATAGAGGAATAAAGTACTAAAACTTGCATTTCAGCCAGCATACCTGAATCGCGAATCTGCTTATTGGCCAACGCCAGACCCTTCTGGAGGAATGTTCCTCCCGATGTGCCAAGTTGACGTAAATCACTAATGCCTGCCTCCATGGCTCGTCTGTATTCGCAGATTGATTACACGACATTGAAAACATAACAATCAAGGAGGAATTCCATAGCACAATAAAAACAACAAATCAAAGCTAAAAAAATCCCTTGCAAGTCATCAAAAGGATGATTTTAGAACAAAAGTACGATATTAAAATGAAAGCTGAATAGACTTTTGAAAATGATCATCCACATAGGAATTAAACGAAATCTCAAAACAAAACAGTTGCTCTTACGTTTTTAGCAACACCTTGAAAAAAGCCTTCAGAATGCACTTTTGTTATAAAAAAATTCCACCTTTTTATTTCGTTGCATTTCACCTCCGAATATTCGATTCCGAAAATAGATATTCGAATATTCGATACTGGCGATCGAATATTTGAAAATTCGAATATTCGGCACAGCCCAAAAAACAGAATAAATGCAATGCCTTGAAAAGAACAGATAAATATTGAAAAACTCAAGACAATCTTTCGAGACGAATGCTCAGACATAAATATGTACATATATACGAATAATGTATAAGCAAAAAAAGGAGTAAAATTAAGATTGTTTTCATGAACACGTTGAGGAATTACTATATCACCGACCTGTTGCGAGTCAGTTTCATGATCACGCTGGACTCGTCTCGACTCGAGAATGTGATGAACGAGGCTCGCATCTTGGAACTACAAATGGAATCCAATCACAAAAAAACATTAAATTTGGTGTATACGTGCTTTCTGGGTGTGGCACCTTGAAACATAGATTTTCAAATCGAATTGATAATTTTCTAGCATTACATTAGTTATGAGCTTTCTAATGGGACATCGCACGAAAAAAATCAGCCCATGACAAGTAATCAATTAATTAATTTCAACTTATGAATTAAGAGCGGGACACTCCTATAATTCGTTCTGAATAGTCGGCGCAATTTCTGAACTAAAGCGTGCCATTTAAAACCACTTTTTTAAAACTGTACTAAGGCCTGCAAAAACAAACAAGCAAATTTATTTGTTACAACACATTATATTCCTTTAAATTTCGTTCGAAAAAGCACGCATATTCCAACTTTAAGTCAATAAGAACTGAAATCGGATGACGGATAAATTAAATCACGACAAACTGGCAACAAAAGGGCAAAACTTCAAGTTACTTTGACCGTCCCACTTTTGAGTTTCACCCAGATATTCAAAATGCCATTTTTCTATCATTACCAAGGTAATGTACTTTTGAACGAGACATCGAACGTAATAATACGCCCGCGACTAATTATGAAACAGTCTTTTCCAATTTTCGAAATATTTGCAGCCGGAATTCTGAATTAAAGCTGCATTTAGCTAGAGCTGGAGGCGCAAAAGGCAACCCCAAAATAAAAGCCTTTTCACGGAGTTGTACATGCTAAAAATAGAAAACAATAGTGTGTTTCTTGAAGCCGGTCTTCATATCACATTTAAATACCCCCCCCACGTGATCGAGTCTCGACCAATCAGAAGCTATCAGCTCTACAAGGTAAATATAAAACATATTGAAATATCTCCAGGAGTAAAAATAAAAAAGCGATATGTTGAAGAGCATGGTGAGTGCAACTTTGATGAAAACTCAGCAAAGTTTATCGTACCTTGTAAAACTTCTCAGTAATGTCTCCACAAAGTCCACTGTCTGCTCCTGAAAATACTGGTTGGTCACGCTTCCCGATCTGATTGAAAAGAAAACCCAGTACAATCAAGAAGATTACAGCTTGTCCCAAAAAAGTTGTGCTAGCAGATATCCTTTTACAGTATCCTTGAATACTGAGACATTGGAAATTGATACAAAAATACCACTTTTCTTGAAAACAACGGCACATCAGGTGCCATGATTTTACAGGATGCTTTAGATTGTCATTCATTAAAAAGTCCAGTAAGGTATTTTACACTTATTTGGTAGTTTTGTTTTTTATTTTTGCAAATGTTGTTTATTCCCTTTAAATATTTATTGCAAGGGAGGGATATGGAAATGGAGAAATAAAACAATGGCCTTAAAAATAAACCTACAGATGACCTATAAATTCTTTTAAGATGAGCGGCACTGACCGGCAACCACACTGCACTATCTCTGGCAACCGGAACGGTCGGCCGGATATCAAGAAAGCAGGAAATTTCACCAGTATGTTGAAACCGATTTGCCCGTGTTATTGCAACCCATATGCATAATTGTCCAGACGAAATGAACTTACGACCTTGGTCACTTTTTTCCATTGGCTTGTCTGGCCTAGTTAGACCTTCAATTTTTCGGAGCCATTTTTTCTTCTTCTCCAAAAGTTCACTTCCCTTAGTTATACACTGTTGATAATGTATAGTGGCGAAGGTTTCAGAGATCTTTGAACTTCAATTAAAATTGAGCCACTTTATGCTAATTTTATGTTAATGTTGGTTTCCTTCAGCCATGAGCTGTATTCAGTTGAGTTCCCTCGTCAAAAATGTCTTCCATACGAGCTCTTCCATCTCCTAACAGTGACAGGGACTTACATCACATGGGCGGATCCAGAAGACACTTTTTTGGGGGGGAAGGGGGCAAACAAAAACTTGGTCGCCGAAAAAGTGGGTCCCAAAAATTTGGGCGTGGGGTTCGGGTCCCGAAAAAATGTTGGATTCTAGATGCCCTGTGGTGCGATCTGAGGCAATTTCTGACGACTTTAACCAAACCTTTTTGAGGAAAAGATGGTGGTGTACGCAGTGCCTGCCTTGGCTTTATTGCGATGTCACTTAAAAAAAAAATTGGGTTCGTTTTTTTCTTTCCCCCCTGGATCCGCCCTTGTTACATCATCGAGTATACCACTCTTCACTGGAATTTGGTTGTGAGCATTTCTTTCTTTCTTTTTAAGAATTATTGGTAAATCTCATAACCTTAACCTTGCAGATAAGAAAACCAGACAAGACTTACGTCAGATGTAGGGATCCACATTGTAAAGCCTACAATGTAATATTTATAGGCCAATAATAGTCCTACTTGTAGCACCACAATAGGTCCACTTTCCCTTTTTAATTTTTTCAGTTCGACTTAAGGAGTATAGACCTTATGCCTAGCAGCCATCTTAAAGGGCATCTTTTGTTATTTTAATTCAGTAACAGTGAATGCACAAATGGTTCACTCATGCATATCCCAGCAAAGCAAAGGCATTAGATGGCTGCTACGCATAAGGTCTATAATAGTTCATCACTAGGCCTGTACACGAGGAGCACCTATACTGTCGAATATTAAAACCAGGGAATGTTTTGACCTTTACTGTAAGGGCGCTAGCACAGCTGACAGCGGGAATTTCTATTTCGGGTCTTTGTTCAAAATGTGTTTGCAGCCGTCTGTGTCAATGGTACCTTCGGGCGTTCTACAATTTACCTCGCATTCCCACAAAAACGTTTGTTGTTCAGGCCTATACACCTTTTTTCACTGATTAATTTGGCTTCATTACTCAATATATTAAAGGGTATAATTTATTACGAGTATAATTCTGTTCCCCACCCCCACTCCCCCCCCCCCCAAAAGTTGAATTCATCTAATAAAGTCGTTCACGAGACATTGTTTCATTTCTTATAAATCCACCCTCTGCGTTTTATTTTTACTTCCAGCTCATTAGCCGTACCCAGGAAAATGTGCGAATTATTATCTAGTAGCGTGAATCCTGTCTATGTTATGGGAAGTCTGGGAGCGAGGAACAACAATGTTTCCTTGTTCTGCATTCCATTCCCAGTAGGTAATGTCTTCAGGGTTTCGACCCCTGGGTCTGCTAGACTTGTCACCAGTCGCAGACAGGACCATCCGATGTCCTTGCTCTATGATTAAACTATCATGACGCTTGCTGATTCTTTCGATTTTGAGTAGGCATAAATCTATTTAATATTGGATTTGATCTGGTGAGGCATGTAGAAAACCTTGTCAAGATCCTTTGCAATCAGAAGCTGAGGGTTTTTTGCACAAGAGGTCTACCCATGCGTATACGTACCAAGTGGACCAAAATACACACACCTTTAACTTGTCAAAGACTACTATAAATTAACCATGGGGGATTATTATGTACTGCAGGCCTATGGCCTAGGGTAGTTGGAGAAAAAATAGTTCGTGCTGTGGAGGCTTAGTACTACTGTTATCATGTTCATACCTAAAATGTGACGGTAGAACATAGGCTGCTTAATATCTAAAAATACTGAAACATCTTTATCATGAACAGCTAAAGCGCCCCCAGTGTTGTCAAGATTAATGCAGTCCCCCCCCCACGCCCCTAGGTCAAGGGCGGATCCAGAACACAATTTTTTGGGGGGCCAAAAAATATTTTTGTCCCCCCAAAAAGTGGGTCAAAAAAATTACGGCGTGGGGTTCGGGGCCCGCTTAAGGGCCCCGAAATTTTTTTGGATTCTAGATGCTCTGTGGTGCGATCTGAGGCAATTTCTGACCACTTTAACCAATTTTTTTGAGGAAAAGATGGTGGTGTACTCATTGCCTGCCTTTATTGCGATGTCACATAAAAAAAAAAAAAATTGGTTTCGTTTTTTTGGGGGGGGGGGGGGGCATGGCCCCCTTTGGCCCCCCCCCCCCCCCTGGATCCGCCCTTGCCCTATAGGTAATAAAACTTTTGAAGGGAAGGCCGGCAGTGGCCGAATATATCATGTGCATGATTAAACTCTCTCCAACACTCGCCTTTTGTTTTGAAATATGTGCGTATTATAGTTGCAGTTTTTTATTCCTCCATTGTTGCAGTATAGAAGCCCAGGAAAAACGGTCTTACCTGTCCAAGACGAAATACAGATCGAAGCCGCCGCTGCACTGTGCTTCATTCCGACCGGCCAGGATACCCCCATCAGGGGGTAAGGTGGCAGCACGGGCCGCGGCAAGAAGCGTCAAAATCACGGCAGACAACATGGCCGAAACACGGTGAAGTTGCTGCTGGTGGGACATTCTCGTAGTACCAACTAATACTTGGGGGTTGGTAAGTTGCTTGTGGACCACCAGTGAAAGGGTGGTTGGAAGACGATGAGTTTCTAAAACGCAGTCTGCTTGAAGCGCCTGGCGACCTGTTCAAGTTCTTCAACAGCCAGAAGTGTTACCGCAATGCAATAAGTTTGCGTTGTTGGCTCGGTCGTGATTTCCTCTACCAAAATTCCACAGTGCCTGGGAAACGAATGACTCATCCACACGGTACGCAGAGGGCCTTCAAAGCACTTCACACGAGTCCTGTATTTTTTTGATGATTTCCCAACAATAAATCCTTTGACCCCGTTCAGCTCAGATTACGCCATGTACTTTTCACCATTCCTTCTCGTTACACTCGCAGCTGGTGGCGGTCTGCTGGTACCTGGAACCTCACTGCAGGCTCCCGCGAGTTTTTGCACTGTAAATACACACTATAGGCCTAGAGGTTTGTGTGGCGATTTAGGCGGAATAAATTAGGCCCACAGAAGTCAAAATCTATGCTTGCAGATCGGCTTTATAGTTGGTGAAAGAAAGCAGCACGGTGAAACGGCACACACAAAGATGTTCAACAATGCAGCTTTCACAAAATATCGTCACAGACCGAGCTTTTCTAAAGCTCAGATTGAAATGAAAACTCAACACTGCAGAACAGACGCATAAACCTCAAGTTTTTATCTGGTACCCGCACTGCAGTATGTGATCTTTCCTTTATACTTTAATCTGCATGTACCATGTACACGACAGCGGAGATAATTTAGGCAGGGTCACTTCCACCCCAGTGATAAAGAAGGAAGTTCGGTCACAAAATAACCTGCAACTCTGCCAAATCGTGACATGTCATGTCAGGAACTTGCAAAGGAAATACCCAAAGCTAGAACATTTGGTTTCTTCGGCAATCCTTGTCACAATGTTTGTTTTACAACATTTGCCAACTGGCTAATTGATTCGACACTCTTATCTTTTCCTTTGGACAAATAAAGGAAACATTTTCAAAGAAAAAAACATGGCAATGTTTTTTTTTCGGGGTTGTCAATTGTGAGAGCATGTTCGATTTCTTGTTCCCAATGGCGACTGATTTCACATCGAATGTATGTAAAGAAAATGAAATTATTTAGTATAAGAATGACAAAATCGTCAGTCTTTGGATCATAGAGTCAACAGGTTTATGGTCAAATTAGGGCCAGTTACCAACCCACGTTTCTACCTGATGTTTTGGGGGCCTCCGAAAGATGCATACCCAGCATCTTCCTATGGTTTTTGATCATGGAGGAAGAAATCCCTGCATGGTTTTCATTCAGTCTTAAAGTAGACTTGTAAAGAGTAAACAACAGTTATTCCAAAAGACCCAGCCACAAGGCCCCTGTGCGATAATTTCCCCACATTTCAAGTTCTAGGCAACGCATCGATGTCGTCAGCCAGCCTTGCGAACCGTTCGAGGGCGCTACAAACGACCTCCTCAAACTGCATCCGTTCTACGGTACGAATGAACAATATTGAACTTTTCGGCAGTTCAGGGCCTTCCCAGGATGAGATAATGTCCATTGTTTTTAGCGGAGAACGATAAACCATCCGCACTCGAGGCAGCCAGGAAACGATCATGACTCACTCTTCCTTTTTCCTGTATTTTGGTGAGAACTTTATAAGAAGCCAAAAAGCAATGCACCGACTGCCACCACCGGTGGGTCTATTGTTTATATTTTGGGTCCAGCGGGATATTTCTGGTAACAGACATAATAGTTCTTACCAAAATTGGTTTGATTTTATCCGTAGTTCACTTCCATGTCTTCAACCACCCAATTTGGTTTTGTGCCAAGTTGGAAGTTGTCCACTAATTGCTGTGGTTTTGTTGGTCTTTGTTATTTCGTATATTGTCCTTTGGTACCGTGACAATAGTGGTTTAGTTTTATCACAATCACCTTGAATTCAGATAAGTTACATAATTTTTATGTGAATCAGAGGTGATTTAGAGTTTAGAAGAGGCAAACAGTGATTTCGCTGGTGAAAAGTTTTTCGGTTGTGGTCAGAATATTGTAGAAGTACAAGTGTCATTTTTTTGAACATTAAATCGGTAACAAAATGTGATTAACATTCAGGTGATTCCAATACTATATTTAAGTTTTACACATGGTACAGTTTGAATTAATCTCGGAGAGGATACATTGGTACTTCGGTACAAACATGCACTGCACCAACTACCATCATTATTTAATCAACTGATGAATTATATCTTAAAGGGCTCATGAAACGTAATTGTTTTAACGCAATCCTTTAAAATGGACCTTTGTGTCCCATTTAACCATCATTTTGAATATTCGTTTTGCCATTTTCAAGGTTTTTTTGGTGCCTTTTTGGTTTTTATGCTAATGCCAATTTCCATATTCTTGAGCAAAAGTGGGTGGCAAGATGGGTGGCTTGTGTGGAAAGCGCTCGCCTCTCACTAAGGTGACCACGGTTCGAATCCTGGACGCGGATCCTGGCCTGGCCGTGTATCACATGTGAGTAGAGTTGTGCGTTGGTTCTCTCCTGTGCCACGAGGGTTTTTCTTCGGGCTCTCCGGTTTTCCTCCCTCCGGAAAAAAATCAAACACTTTCGATCTCAGGCTGTGCTCCGTGGTCATGGTCGATGTGGCCGGCAGCCATATTAGGCGCCTTTACGTGCCAGCGGCCCGACCAGGTTGTAGATGCCAGGAAGGAGGAGTAGCCTCCCCAAATTATTATAGAAGTGTGATGTCATTTCAGGCAATTTTGTTACAGCTATATTTCAGGCAATTTTGTTACAGCTATATTTCAACACAAAACTTTGGATATATTTCAACCAGAAATTTGGATATTTTGCTGATATAATTTTCTTTTCTTTGGTGATTAGTTGCAGTCAGTATACATGGCAGTAAGCCATTGAGAAAACTTTTCCCACAGATGTTTTCAATGAGCAGATCTTTGGGTTGGCAATTTGAACCAGCAGTTTTCTAAGAAGGCAAAAGACACTGCAAAAAGAACACACGACAATATTTCAGTTTTTCTCCCGTATTTCTTTTAAAGTTGGTCACATCGTCCCAGACAACTATACAATGGAAACTTTGAACAATAAAATAACAGCGAAGATAATTATATATTTTACATTATAAGGAATACTTTGTTTATCAAAAAACTGACAATCATTCAAAAAGGAGTTTGCGTAATGTATAGACTAGTACACAGTGTTACACAGTACTGACGAATGACGTTTATCGAAAATAGACATTTTAAAGAGTTGTTCTTACAAATGAATGTTGTTTGTTCACAACTGACATTACACTCAGAATTTTGCAGATAAGTTAAGATATTTAAACTGAGGTTTGCGACTTTTTATAAGCTGGAAAGATCGGAATGCAAGAAAGTTTAACTAAATCTTGAATATATTCTAGCAACACCCATAAAAAATAAACAACACATGATACCGAAAAAAATGGAATGGAAAACAGGAATGAATGTTAAGGAATGCACGTGTAGCAAGAGTCTGAATATCAGAATGTTACTATAACAATATTATTGAGAAAGTATTCAAGTTTGAAGTAAAAGCAAAAGCAATGCGCAGAAATATGCATCAGTTGTAATCACTTTCTTAACATTGGGCATACCGTATACATAAAAAAGTAAACGATAAATATCTTGCTATTCTACAAATAATAAACGAATCATGCCATCAGTCTGCATTGAACAAAATTATTTCACCAATCAGCAGATTTTGTCAGAATAAAAATTAAAAATCGCGGTGGTTTAGTATTAATGAATTAGTTGAATCAGTGAATTCGGTGTTTGTCTTGAAATGATACAAGCACATTTTCTACAAATCTCTGGTCAATGACCAATGTTAATTTTTTTTCCGATTTAAAAAACCCGATTTGTTTGTTTGTACTCTCATTTGACAAAAACAATTTGCTCCACTATAATTAGTATCATTATAAACAAATGAATATTCAAAAATGCAGCTCTCTAGTTTTATTTATAGAGGGGAAAAATGAACTTAGAATAAGGTTTCAGATCAGTCAAACACTCACTTGAAAGTTTGTGTTCCAAATAAAAAAATATCAGTAATTTTGAATCACCTTAAATTCAGTCATTATTTTTTTCAGTATCAATGACTTCCCGAATTTTGATTTATGAATGAAATAATTGACGAAAACAAAGCCGTCAATGTAGTCTGTGCGTTTATTGTCGAATTAGTTCAATAAATCGGTTCAATATGGCTTGTGTTATCACATAGTTTCAATGAATGCAGTAACTGTTCTATCTCCACGCCATATATCTCCCAAATTAACAATTTCCAATTTTCCCGATAAATAACTCGCAGTTTATAAAACTCTCTTCTGAGTAACATTTGGTTACTTAAAAACAACCAATTGATGTCACGACTGTTGCATGTCGCATGCATGTTAACGTAAACAAAGAAATCCCTTTTAACATTGTCTAGAAGACCTCGTAATTAAAAGCTATACAAAACAGCCAATATTATGACAAGTTATAAATAGTACAAAACGCCTGAGACATTCAGTGCATGTTTTAGAAACACGGAGCACTGTTTAGAACTGATGTTCAATACTTTACTTGGGTCGGCGGGCCAAAACAAAGAAAAGAAAAGAAAACAAAACAAAAGAATGCAAAGTATTTTGATGATATAAACACAAAAAGGGATACGCTACAATGGGAATGAGAAGCCAGACATCCATAGTGTCCAAAACTCGCAGTAGTCACAAAAAGCCGAAAACACTATTCTATTGTTTTTTGGCATATGCTTCTGTGGATGTACGCCCTCTATCGATTGATGTGGGCCATCATCAAACTGACTGCTGCGATTGTGAACAAAATGATTCAGAATAATATACACACCACAAATACACTAAAAAGCTGAAAAACAAATCTCGTGTATGGCGAGACTTTGGTTGAAATTCGGTCGTTTTGCAGCCATATATACATCGTCCCCTCAAATTTGTTACCATATACCAGTCTTTTAAAAATAATAACTTACGTGTATTGCACCAACTCCTAACAAACAAACAAACGTAAATAACGTAACACCCATGATAAACCTATAATAGTCATGTACAAATATTAAACTTAAAAAAAACTAACCATCCCTTAGTGTATAAAAAGTCAAATAATACACAGCCAACAAGTGTTATAAACAGTCTTTATTATTTATAAAGTTGTTCAACCTCTTTTGTTGTTTGTTCGTTTCGTATAAATACCACAATAACTAGTTTTTAAGTGACCGAAAAAAACCGAATATATAATTTTAATATGTACAGAATGTTATTAATGAATGCGATATTGCTATTTCTTTCGTACAACAACCGAGTTGCATGCAAAAGTTAAGGGTGGGTATTCTTTTAATGTGTGTGGAAATCAGGCACTTATATAGAGACAAGTAAACCACAAGGTATTTTCGTTTCAGGTTTAGGGCACAGGTATATAGGTATAGGCTCATGACCGGCACGCGAGTTGAAGTTTGTCGATTAAATTAACAGCCATTGTCGACAACACCGAATGAATTAAGCAAGTGCTAAATTCACCGTGTCGACAATTTTGTCCAAGACTGCAGTTTGCAGATCTTTTTTTCTTCCATTTCGTCACTGCCTGTCGATTTAGGGTCGAAATATTTCCCAAGCCTTATAAACGTGCGCGTTAGGCAGCAGCCGACTGAGGCATTTAGTTAATGTTCCCATATTACATTATAATAGTGTACCAAGCGACCACAAATGAAAGTCATCTCTTAGGTGCCATGATCGCGTTTATATGTGCACGCGTACGCGCTGCTCCTTCGACCAATGGGATTGACTTAAAGTTAACACGCGCGCGCCTACATTTTAAGAACACCTGTGACATGTGCTTTAGCGCGTGTTAAGTGCCCCATAAGTTTATAACAATTAGGGTATGCCTGACGTATGTGGGAATCAAGTTCAGATATCGCTTTTACATGATTAGTCATAATTAAGTTAAATACGTAAATACTTTGTATGACTTATTATTTTATCTTTACTTTCAACCAGTTCATCATTATTATAAGGCTTTCAGATTGATAGAACTGTTTAAAATCGTTTTTTTTTTACATATAAAAATTACTTATAATGGTGGTTTCATTTTTTGATTGGCATGTTGTTGTTCCTTCGATTACTGATCTAACGTCACCCAGGCCAGAGAGACTTTAGGATCTTTGCTGGCCGCGGTTCCGCCCGTGGTACTCGTCCGTAAATCCAGCACGTTCTGCAGCCGGTTGCCGCCGACCACAGTGTCCAGTGACGTCATGCCGACCAGGGCCTCGCACTGCGCATGTGTCTGGTGTTGCTGCTGATTGGTACGGGAGTGTGGCTGCTGCTGTTGCTGCTGTGGCTGTGGCTGCTGTGGCTGCTGTGGTATCTGCAGCTGCGTTGTTGCTGTGTTCTGGCTGGTCATGGTGATGGGTAGACTGGTTCCGGGTTTAGCTGCTCGGGGGAGAAGACAACAGGATGCCGTGCGGGTTGTTTTAGTTTTATGAGGGACACAGGCTAAGGGCATGCGCGGTCTGTGGGTAGAGAGTCGATAAAAAGAAGGGGGAAAATGGAGAAAGACAAAAAGAAAACGAAAAAAATCAATGGAAAAAAATGATGAGAGTGATGCACATGCGTGGTGTGCACATGCTGAGAATAGCGTGTGCGTGATGAAACGTAACGTGCTTTGGATTGAGAAAGACGAACGACGGATGATATGGTATAAAAATATATCTCTATGGTTATATGAGCCGTAAGTACCAAGAAACTCTACTCCTTTTGAACAAATGTGTGCAAATATAGGTATTCACATTGATCGTGTAACAACACAGACTCACTTTTGGCTTTTCTTTATGGTACAACCTTCAACTGAAAACCTAAATCCACCCCAATCCGAATTACACCATTTATCGTTTGAAACTAATTTCCACTGACGGCCACCAAATTTTGCCAAAATCACAATGAGAAGTTATGTTTCACAGTGAAATTCGTGAACACATGCACGCACCACAAAGAACCACAGCATCCAATGCATACGGGAAATGACACAAACGTACAAAATACCCAGTTGTAAAGAGAAAGAACCAGTTTGGACACTTTGGCACCCATAAAATAAATTTAGAAACCACCAGATGTTCAATAGGTTAAGGCTGTTTGAAATGTGTTTTGGTCCTCAATTTACGTCTTCTTTCATCGAATATCGAATTTAATGTGTAAAGTGAAATGATAGAAACGTTTTAAAGTGGGCAGTGTCTGGCACCTGTAATGCATACATCAAATCACCAAGTTTGGTTTAACTTGCAATTTCAAATTTGTGTTTAGAATATAAGTCAGTTACAGGCAATATGTTCTTGTGTTCCCAGGAGTTGTAGGATCTTTCCCAAACTTTTTACAAAAGTCCGATTGGTTTACGAGGGAAAAAATTATTATAAAAACTACATAATCTCACCACAGAAGCTAGAGTAGACAGAATATCATGCACAGACAAATGCAACGATTTTTGTCAATTGAGGGCACTGTAGATGCTAATTTTGGGGCAAAAACATCCCTTTCACTGACATAAAAATGTCACCGCGAACATTACATCCTCTTGCTTCAAGCAATAAAAAGAAGTTTCCAAACTCCAAGATGTTTACAAAATGTAATAGGTGGTCCACCACTTCTCTGTACATGTATAAAGATTGGTTTGGAGAGCGCCCTCAATGTGCAAAATTACCCAAACAGCGCCCTCAATTGTTTCAAAATTATTGTTTGAGATGGTTAATTAGCTGCTTACTTAGCAAACTCTGGGTACTTAGCCGCTGCCAGTCGTTGTAGTGGCCGGGCGTCATGGAAGAGAACTGAGGGTGGTTGTACTGCATGGACGAAAACTGATTGGAATAGTCACCTGAACAAGAAAGAGGGAGAAAAATATGTACAAGTGGTAAATTTACAATTTTTTTCTTTTTTTGAGAGTGGAACAATTGAAAGAGTAGAAACTTTGAGTGAACACAGAATGTACCCACTGAACCTAATCGGTGTTAGAGTTTAGAGTTTATTGTGATCCAATATAGATGACTTCAATCTGGTTTAATCCCACTTGTTTGATCTCATTGAGTCAGCACAGCCAACAGTCCAATCTCAAAGTAGACAACTCGAACAAATCCATCCAAAAAGAAGTCTTCCCAATTTATCCCAGCATATCCTATTGAATCCCAAACTAACCTTTGCATCACAGTGACATCCTGCAGCCAAACCCGTACCAAAATCACCCCAACCTCACCCAATTACACAGCCCACTTCAGCCAAAATCCCTCCCAGTCAAGCCAATGCAAGCCCAGTCTTACCCAACAAAACCCTGAAGTCTTACCAATATGAACCCAGTCCAACCCAGCCCACCCCAATGCAACCCATTCTTAACGAACACAAATCAAAGTATAGCCCTGTACATAAAAGAACCCCACCCAAACCCATCCCAGTCAAGCCAATGCAAGCCCAGTCTTACCCAACAAAACCCTCAAGTCTTACCAATATGAACCCAGCCCAACCCAGCCCAACCCAGTCCTTCCAAGTCCAACCCAGTCCACCCAATGCAACCCATTCTTAACAAACCCAAATCAAAGTAAAGCCCTGTACAGCTTTGCCCATTCAAACCCAAAACTAAAATTGAAAAAGTGAAAGAAAAAAGAGAGACATACCTTCCCTGTGGTTGTGACCATATGAACCACCACCATGGGGGAGAACCAGTGGCGGACCCAGGCCTGCGTGTATGGAACCAGAACCGTAACCCCCTTGACTTGAAGTGGAATAGCCCGCATTAGAACCTAGCAAGAACATAATGTGCACCAGTGGTTTACAAATATGACAAACCCAACCAAAAAGGAAAGGTAAAAACAAAAACTCAAAAATGATCACAAGATGACTTTTTTTAAAGTGAAATACCGAAAGAGACGATTGTGAGAAGTTGTGTGCAGTTCATAATTATGAAAAGTAAAAAAACTGTGCAATATACAATGTGAATTTTCTGTGCAAGAAAAAAATAATTAAGAAAATAAAATCAAGTTTTGACATGAATGTCAAATTTTCTTTTCAAACATGTGAAAAACGCCCGATTGTGACCAAAAGTGCTTCTTCCAACCAGAAAATACCTTCTTCCAACGTAAACAGCTTCGCTTATTTTTGTTTTGTTTTAGCCATACGACGGTAAGTTTACCTGAATATTGGCTGAAGTTTGAAGCTGCTGAGCTGAGCTGCGAGAGGGCGCTATGCGAGTGGTTGTAGCCGCCCATGCCGCCCACTGTGGCCGGCTGGAGTACTGTTAGAGTGCCGCTAGCGGGCGCCCCTTCGTGCTTCAATGCACTGCTGCTGGTTGAGGAAGTGATGGTGTGAGAGGCCGACCCTGGAAAATATAAAAGAAAAAAATTTAAGTCCAAAACATTGAGTCATGATATTTTTGGGGGTACTTTTTCAGCCAGTAAATGTTTGAGTTCTCGAAGTTGCTAAGAGAATGAGTCATAAAACATGACGTATTCTAACAGGAAGGTTTGTGTCAAATAATTTACAAATATAATCTCACAATAAAATACGAAGTTGGTTAAAAAGAAGTAAAAATCAAGTCAGATCTTTTTTTAAACAGGCAGGAATTAACGTATTTTGAGTGTTGGTTTTTACTATTTCAAAGATTGGAAAAAACTGTGAAATGCCTTTAACTTCCGGGTCAACTATTTACCTTGGTAACCACAGGTCACCGCTTGGTGGTGCTGTTGATGATGAGGATCGCTAACGTGGGGTTTGACGTCAGACGCATGCGTAGAGGCACCGAGGGCAGCTGTCAGGGAATGGTACTCGCTCGTCGAGACCTGCGTGAAAAATTAGTATGAAAACAAGAACCTATGAAACTTTGATCTCTTACATTCTCTTGATCTTGACAAGAGAGATAACATTGTGTTGGTTGATTAGAAGGGAGTTATCTGAAACTGAAAGGATATCTGATTTTTGTTTTATAATTATCTGTTGCTTATGAAGAGATGAGAGTTAATACAAAACCTGTTTAGGAACGATTAGGTTAAATGGAGTAAGGAATCGGCAACGTCTGAATGAATGCAATTCGGGCAAGGAATAGCAAAACAAAATGCAAATGGAGGGAATGAATTAAGATCAAGAGAGTAACAAATTAACATGGCAATTACCTGTCTCCTGTTGCCATGGGCATCTGGGTGCATGAACAGCACATCCGGGTACTGGGATTTGTCGATGGCCTTCTCCAAGGCCTCGATCTGGTGAGGGGAGAAGGCGCCCCCATTCGTCCGCATCATTTCCCGCGCTTTGTCTTCGCCGCCCATCTTGCCGTGACCACCTTCTTCTGAAAAGACAAAAAAGACAGCGACATGTGTTTAACCTAGATGTTTCAAGACGGTTTCTCAACCACTGCCAAAAAAAACTAACCAGGATCTGGCTATAGCGCCACCTACGTTAATCAAACAAATGCATTAAATCGAAACCTATAGTGTTGTTATTAATTAATAGATAAGGGTTTCCTTACAATACAATCCGTTGGAACTATTTAGAGACAGTAAGATAAAGATTTACGGTAGCATCATTGTGACAAATCTCTTTTGTGAGTTTGTGAGGTTCTGGAAAAAGGGGAAACTGCACATTTCGCATACTGTCCGAAACGTTGAGTTTCCCTTGTCTTCAGAACCTCAAAAACTCACTGAAGAGATTTGTCACATTGGTGCTACGGTAATTCTGTATCATACTGCTATCTTCAACATGCAAACCTTCAAATCTTATAAGAGACAGGCTTTATCATTTTGAGAGATGAGAAAGTCTTTAACCAGATCGGCTCTTTCCCAGAATTGCTCAATTGGTGATAATTAAAAGCGGCATTTTGGCTGACTTTCAAAGGTGGTGATTACCAGTGGTCAGCTTCAAAGCGCGCGATGGGCGCACCTCCAGCCAACACAGCTCAATATCGTGCGGTTAAGGCCCTTTTGGTGAACGATACACCACACAGTGTAGGCCTGTATTCATCAGGACAAGGCTGACACGGGACAAAAGGTATCCAACCTTGACTGCTGGGGGCGGGCTTTTCATTTTGCAACACGAAAAGGTGTGGGTTGCGAAATGGCCTTGGAAATCCAATAAGCGTGAATGTCTAACATTGGATGTGGCAAACCAGAGATGACATTGAGGTAAAACTTTGTGATTAATTTTACATTCATAACAAAAGGGAATGACAAGGGAACGCATACCAAGTTGACCACATCTGAGGGCGTCCCCTCGAATGTAAAGGTGTGGCTTGTTAATTGGCCACAAGAATGGAGTTATCGTGTGGGCTTTCACTATAGAGATAATCAACAGGGTTGGCATTATACTTTTACAAAAGAAAACCCACCCAAGTCTCAAACTGACACACGATGGGGAAAACTTTATCTTAATTTTCAGTGCACAGAACACACTAATTCAGAGTCCTTGTTAATCCAACAGTCCTACTGGAAAACTGATGATATATAAGTCAGTAAAACTTTTAAGTAATATTTTAAAGGTAGGGCTTATATAGGTATTTTTTTCGTTTAAAGCAACACAATTGCTCAAGATCCTAGGTAGTGTGCAACATAACCAACTTGTTGAAGTTTCAGCTCAGTGGTAGGGCCTACATTGTAACACAAAGGAGAAAACATGCACAATTTGGGGGTCTCATAACTGGATTCCGTTGCTAAAAGAACGTCAAAAAACTGTGCCGGCAGTCATACTTTGTTGAACCGACCTTCAATGCTTCGGAGAGATTGTCATTTTCAATTAAAAAATCTGAAAATTGGAAGAAAGGTCTGAAAGATGCATAACTTCTTTCTATGCTGATAATGTCTTTCTCTCAGATTAAAAAAAAGTCTGATTTCAGACAAAAGTCTGATAAATCTCAAGCCTGATGATTGTTTTCCTCCGAGCGACAACACGGGGTATGTAGTTTAAACCAGTCCCATCCCATCCTCACTTTGAGCAAGTCATTTCTCATTAAACTGGTGGGTACATTTCGGCGTATTTTAAAATATTTTTCATGAGAGACGACAACATGTAATTTCCACTTTTGGATTAAATAAAGTTTAACTATCTATCTATCTATCCACCAAAGTTAACTGTACACAAATCATGCCTTTAACATACTAATCACGAAACAAGTAATTCAACCTTCCAATCCTGAAATCTATTTAGACAACTTGCTATATCTGCACACAGTCACCGCAATAAATGCCATTGACAAGTCGCACATTTCCACCGTGAAAAATGAACGCCAAGTACATGATTAACGTCGCCCGGCCGGGGTCTTCTCGACTTAACGGACCGGCGGTGTAAGGCTGAGCTATATCGTAATCAATGTACCTCTATAAATATTTATAGCTTATTCATAGGGTTTACCCCCAACAATGATTTGTATTCCAAAGTACAAAAGTTGCTGCGGCCATATATCTCCGATGGTCGCGACAGTGAGGAATGACAGGCGGGCCCAAAGTATATGGCTAATCACAAATGCAAGGGAAGGCGTTCAATTGGAATAATATTCATCCGCCAGACCAGACTCAAAATCCAAACACTCTATACATCACTTTGTTGCAATTCTAATCTTCTAACTTAAATAACAGTTTGGTCCCACATTGTCCTCAATAACAAGCAGTGACCAATCACTTGTGAAAACAAAAACAAAGAGAAATGTGGTCCTAAGAGTACAGGAGGTATTGAGTCAACGTTTCGGTCAGTGCGTGCTGACCATCATCAGGAAGTTATGTATATACACTCTAGCATCCATGCACAAGAGTCATTATGAAATTGCCATGTATAGCAACAATTTCTGAAATAGTGCGCGAATCAGTTGATGTTTCATTTTGATCTATATGGTTTGTCAAAACAGATTTATGTCCGTCATGACATGACAATAATTGCCATACCGTCTTTCTTTGGCAATTTTACCTATTACTTGAAACACTATGTCAAACTATATTGAGATTATGTACCGATCGATGCACGACAGTCTTCGAGAGGTCAAGAAGCGGCCGTGCACCTAGCTGGCCTTTAGGAAAAACATTTCACCCCCCAGAACAAACGTCGCTAAGAAACCTTGCAGTCCGCTCTCGAATTCCACATTTTTATTTTGATCTCATTACAAGAGCGCGGCATGTTTACAGCTTTTTTTGCCGGCGAGAATTATTACAAGTTACAACCCAATACTCCGGCTAATAACAAGCCAAACAAAAATGTACACTGTCTGTAAAAACAAAAACACGTTAAAAGACTATATACACACAAAAACAAATCAAGACCTTGTAATGGATTTTGGAGTGCGGTACATGCAGGAGCCTATTGGCGGCCATAGCCCCAACATGCGGTCAAAAGAATTTTGACTACGGGACTGCGTAAGATCGCGATACCCAACCCTCGCGCCATCACGTCGCCAAAAGCGGTATCGACACTCAATTTCTCATTTTCCTCGCCCTTTTTTGTTGCCAACAATTTGGGTTTTTCATGTTGGGTGTGAGAAGAGTGTCACCTCTTTTTCGGATATTATTTCAGCAGTCTCGCCTCGCAAAAAAATAACAACGCAGGGCCCCAGGACTGATTCTTGGAACAAGACCGAATAACACGTTCACTTGATCCCGTGATTAGTCTGTAACCTGATCATGTAATACCGAGGTGATTTTTTATTCTGTCGTGTGACTTTACTTGCAGATATATGGCCGTTTTGGGATCTATTTAATTTATTATACACTCCTGAATGGGTATAGGTGCCAGACTTTCTCAAAAGGGCTATACAGTGCTCGTTTCACTTTCAAAATATGGCCAAAACGTGAGATATTGTTTCCGTAATATTACGTGTAGCCTTACTAGCCTGTAATTTTGTCTCTATTGAACTGCCATTCTACTCGTCTTAAGTTTAAAAACAATGCTTTAGGGATCGATTCTTCACTTTCGATTCAAAATGGTCGACTCGCTAATAACGTCTGGATGACTCGATTATTGTAAAACAAATTAATCGGTCAGTTGTATCAAACACAGGCATTCAACTTTCAACAAACATTAATGGGGAAACAAAAGAAAGAAACGAACAAACAGACAAGCAAACGCTGTCGGTGCAAAATTTGATTATCGATGCTAAAATTACATCCTCTGTTGTTAATGTCATGGAAACCACTGACTCCGGACTATGAAAAAAAGGGACCAAAAACTGTGAAAACAATCCATGATGGCGGGTGAATTAGGTTGCCTGTTTTGGCGGTGTAGGTTCGGCGGGAGAATGGCTTTCCCACACGTCTTGCTGTTGCAGCTCGTGTGTCGGCCCAGGGACTCGGTGGAGTGTGGATTACGAGACGAAATAACAAGGAGTCCGCTAGCATTATGCGGTATCGTAGGCGCCGTTTTTTGAGTATTATTCCAAGGATGCTGGACAGTCGAAGGAGCCTGCATTTCCAAAATAAGCCATCGGAAAAAAAAGCAACGGAAACAAAGCCGACAATATGGACTGTAAACTGAGTCCAACAATGAAGGAAAAAAACATCATTAACATTGACAAGTGCGTTTGAATGACTGTATTCATTTGGGAACACGATCATTGGATGACTAAAACATTGGACCGCTGGATTGATGTTCAGTTTCCAAACGTCGTATCATTCGATAATGTTTGATATTTTCATTAGGCTGGACCCGAACTACCACATCGGAGTTCGACTGATAGCCAGAGCAATTTTAACTGAGGTATTCTCTCTGCACTTTTTTATGATGAAATTTCAGTCTGCTTTTTGTTTTGATTTTTTCTTCTCAGGACGATAATCCTAAATATTTCCCACCGCGTCAAATATATTTTCCAAGCACATGTCATTTTTACAATCTCGTAACTATAGACCGTAGTTACAATTTGTTTACAAATTTGGATGTTGTGGTCACGTGATGCCAGCTTTCAGCCAATCTGTTCTCCTCTGCACTGCATGTGTATCTCTTGAAATGTGATTGGTGCAAAAGTGGTGACGTAAATTGTTTAACGCAGGCAAAATAACACGTACAAGATCCTTAAAATGTTTGGCTTGCCTGTCCATTGCCCGTTGGTATGACGTCACAGCTAGTATGGTCTATAGATTTCTGCTTACAGGGTTACACAAGTAGGTTTGCTAGCTTAGCACAAAATGTCGTCAGCGTATTGCTGCAAAAATCCATGGAAAACCGAGCCAGGAAATTGGGCCCTGTGCGTGTCTATATGAACTTCCATGGCTCATCAAATCGTAATTCACTGTTCACTCTCTAATCTCATTTAATTTTCCCGCGCTTTCCGTGAACTAAGCGCGCCAAATCAACCCTCGTTAAAGTTCAGGCCAAATG